CTTCTTTTTCATTTAATGCCTCTAATTAGTAATAATAATATTAATGATAAAAGGAATTAAATTAGCCTTACCTCTGGCCTAGGAAAAAATTATGCCATTTTTGAAAATGAGAGGACTGTATAGCACAGACAAAGCCTGGCACTTAGTATTAGAGTGTTGTGTTTTCCTGTGATCTTGCACTACTGCTGTCCTCCTGTTACCTCTGGCTCTGGCTCTGCTGTGTTCTGAAGAAGTACTGCATCTCAGAGAGGGAAGGGTAAGCTCACATCCTCTTGTCATACTGAAAGTCGTTCATTTTAGCTAATAAGAGATGATTATGGAAATTATAAGAGATGGCCAGCAGCTTTTCATGTAAAAAACGTATGCTTTCCTGGCTGCCTCCAGAATTTCTGTTCTTTGACCTAGACTCTTTGAAGCTTAGGATTTAGTATGCTGACTTAGGACCTATTGATCCAGGATCTTATTTGAATAGTAGCATCAGCTCTGTGAGTACATAAGCATCCCATTCTTTGAAGTTACACTAGTTTAGTTTTATGTAGACCCTTTACTCACTGGTGGAGGAAATACAGCTCTTCTCTGGAAACATATTTATGTAGTGAATGACTGTCCAGGAACCCATACTACTTGGTTCACAACTGTAGACCAGTGGAGAAAACAACATTCCTAAATACTTCCAGGTTTTTAAGAGAGGGAGGAAGGAAAAAGTGGGTTTCTGGTCAACCTGGCTAACTCTGAGTGCTGAGCAGGTCTCCCTGCCTCACGAGGAGCACTAACCAGAAGTACAGCTTGAATATTGCTGGTTACATCAGGCTGTCTGGGGGTGAATTCAACAGCAGACAGTAAGACAGCATGTGTTAGCAAAACTTACAAATGGCAAACAGGCCTTAATCAGAACATTGTCTTCTTGCTTTAGGAATAACATTTTTTTTTTAAAACTGAGTAACATGGTTTTGAGGTTTGCATTAATTAGGACTATTAAAACTGAACAGTAAGCAGAAATAATACAAGGTGATTTTTTTTTTTCCCGAGGACCTACTAAATAAGATTTATGTTTGAAGTAAATAATGAAAGGTAAATATTTATACATGGCAGTGGAAGAATTTTGGCAGAATATAAAACATATTTTATTTCTGAAGACAGAAAGTGCAGAAGTAGATAGAATCACAGAACAAAATAAGTTGGGTCCCTTAAATTCTCCCCATATGTCATATATGACAGCCCCTGACCCCTTAATGGCTCTCTTCTGACCTCTCTCCAGTTTGCTAATCTCTTTCTCTTGTAGGAGTAAATAAATTTAAAAGAATTACATGAAACAGCAATTCCCAACAGCAAATTATGCACTGGAGATGGAATCCATAGGATCCAAATAGAAGTTCATGGCTCTCAGCTGGTGTCCTTCTAAAGCTGATATTAACAATGGGATAGATGACTTTGCATCCTAAATGCCTTCATTGAGTATAAAGAAGACAAGGATGACTGGCTCAGATGGGGCACCACCACTGTAGATATCTGAGGATAGATGACAGGAATCCTCCCCCCATGACTGCATTTCAGTCTTTGCTGGAAAGGAAACGCGAGACACACTGGAAGCCCTGCAGGCAGCAGCCTCAGTTCTCTAGGTATTATTCTTTGACCACAAGATGCACAGAAATTGTCAACCCTGCTTTGTTCTGAGTGGGATGGAGAATGACATGAACTTTGTCTGCTTGTGACCTGTCAATTCTCACCTAACTTTAAGTAGCATATTAAAGCTTCCCTAAAAATTCCCATGAAAAATCCTTTCTGCTTCTATTTAGGCAGTGGTAATGCCCCAACTGCTGGGTTACAAACATCCCATTCTCAGGAACACCTTGTGAAGTTACCAAAGAAAACAAGAGTGACCTAATGGACATAACAAAATCAGCACATCACCTTTTATGTGTATTAAGGCTGAATTACATGTGCTGCTTGAATCCTCACATATTGTTTTGTAAAGATATGATCACCTTATAACATTGTGTTAACAGTAATGAATGCATTTTATTTTCTATGTTATTTTAAATAAAATAAATCCTTTAAAGTGACTTGAAAAAAGAAAGTTTCTCTTCACAGTTTTTCTTTTTTTATTTGCCATATAAATGGCCTTATAAACACTCCCTTATAACCGCTCAGTAGGTTGCAGCAAGCAGCTGCTTTCTCTGCTTGGCCACTTTACAGCAGCTTTTTTCCCTTGAGAATGATTCATGACATGTCTGAGCAGGCCAAGAACTAGCCAAGTGGGACATCTGGAATTAGCTTCTGTGCAGCTGGTTCTTTGTACCTTCTTTCTTCACTAGGCAATAGCTTCAGAGTAGCTGTGTCCACAGATTGTGGTGGATTTACCCCCAGCTTGTAAAGTATGTCTCCTGGGGGAGGTGTCAGTGGCTGTCCATTGGCTCTGGTGGGAGCCCACATTAGGTGTGCTGTAGAAAGTTATTCCAAAGATGCTGGAAAATAAAAGTCATATCAAACTGGCAGTGGACTGACTTACAATTCACATTCCTGTGAATTAAGTCTCCCTTAGTTGGCTTGCATTTGATCATCCCTGGCCATACCTCACCTATAAGCAATGTGGCAGTGGCCCTAGGGACACTGTAGGTTTTTCCCTGCCAGGGCTGGTCCCTATGTCTTTATATGTTTGGATCATTGAGTCCTATAAGGAACCCTACTAGATGACCTCTCCTCCACCCCTAAACCAGAGGCATGAGGGTCTCATGTGCTGGAAGGAAGAAATTTAAGTAGTCTCTTGGAAGAAAGTTTAACTGGGGATATGAGCTAAATATATGTATAGAAAGACCCTTGGTACTGCTGGGGAGAACATACATCTGAAAGAGCTAAACTAAGAGAGGAAGAACTTGACGTTCACCTGCTGTTACATTTTCCTTGCCTCCTCCTTTATGACACCATGCACATTTCTCTCTGCAGCCAGAAGACCTTTCTTCAGCAGACTGTTGAAAAGGCTTTCTTCCTTGTGGCGTATGACTGCTGGCTGAGAAGAAGTAGGGGTTTCTTAATTTCTTTCTTTAAACTTGAGAGAAAGTCACAGTCACTGTACTGATTTTTTCCCCCACTGCATGGTAAGAGTGGGGGCAGGCAGGATGGGAAGTGGAAGCAACAAAGATGTTGCCAGAAGGGAGAGGTCTTTCTTTGATCTGAAAATCGAGATGCTCAGTAAGTTTCCAGAAAGGAAGGACTGCATCCTTTTCTTCACATCCAGCTGACTGACTCCTAGGATACTGCAGGAGCTCTCCAAGTTTTTCTGAAGGGCTGGAAATGCCACAGCCAGCCACCTAACTCTGATTTTCATGTTGCTTTGCATTACAGATGTTTCTGCAGAAACAAAAGAAAATCTTCTGTGTGAAAAACTCCAAGTTCACAGAAATCACTAGAGCTGTCATTTTAGTATCTGCTCCTTTTCATTTTTTTCTCATTAGATGTTACCTTCTTAGTTTTGGACCACAATGGCTTCTGCTGCTGTGTGACTTTATGCACTGGCAGCACGGCAGTATAAATGGGGAGCTGTGGGTTCCATCATGTTGGACTGGATACGCTGCAAGTTTACACAACCTGTTACTGTAACACATGGAAGGAAGAAATAGCTTATTTTTGGCCTAAGTTAAGGGAATAACCAGTGGTGGTGGTTCCATTTTGATGAAACACTTACATGCATTTTGACCTGTTTGGCATCTTGATTCTCATATTTTCCATCCTAAAAGAAATACTGATGTCATTCCCTATCTCTAGCTTTGGACATTAAACAGAGGCAAGAATTTTATGTCATTTAGTCTTGAATGTTCTCCAAATGAGTACTTCCTTGCATAATGCTCTTCTTTGTCTCACTATAACAGTGAGCCTCACTGAACTGTTCTGCTACTTCTGCTGCCACAAATATTGCCCTGAGATTATGTCAAAATCTACTGGGAAAGGTGGATAAGAAGAAGAGCTCCTCTACAAGCAGGGAATATAGAAATAGAAAATTAAATAGGAAATTCACTAAAGTAAGGCACTCATCCATTCCAAAAAAAAAACTTTCCTGAGGGAAGAGAGACTTCTAATGCTCAAATTTTGCCTTTCCATAGCTTAAACTTCTGTCTCAAGAATGTTGAGAAAGGGTATTTGTGCCCCAGCTGGAGGGCTTGGTTGAAGCATTGCTCTGAGTCCTACATGTTTTACTGGGATGCAGGCAGCATCCCTCCTCCCCAGCAGCATCAGGCGTGCTCCTGGCTGTGTCATGGCAGGGAGTTCAAAGAGCTCTGGAGGGACCATCTCCCCTTCTTCCTACATCACAGCCATGCTTCAGTCCATCCCCACTGCGGCAGCCTGGGCTGTGGAGTTGAACAGATGTGATGAACAAGGAATAAATGGGGTTATCCCTGAATGCAATGCACCGAGCAGACTGAGTATCATGCCTAGCACAATGACAACTCTTTTATGGGGCAGTGTTTACACACTTGAGACTTCTCACTTAAATTTGTGTCAGCTGGTCCCAGCTGCCAGTGCCATGATGCTGGAGGATAGAGATGCCCATGGCAGGAGGCAGATCTGTCCCAGCTGCACTGTGGAGTGGGCTACTGCTTTATGTACAAGTCCCTCATACCCCTGCTAAGCTGCTGACACAGGGAAGCTGGATTGTCTGCTGAAATCATCCCAGTCGACTGAGATCCCTGTCTAGGTGGCAAGATTGACGTGATGACACCTTTCACATCATTTGAGAATGTGGATTTAATTAGGCAACTGCCTTAGCATATGCACACCAGCTAAGCAGCTCTTGGCAAGAGAGCTCTGCAGTGCGAGTAGGGGCTCCTGTGGAGGAATTGCCATGTACTAATTAAATGAATTTGAAGTCAAAAAAAGCAGCATTTTCTGCAGTCCTGTATACATAGAGGCAATGAAATGCTACATTCCTTGCAGAACTGATGTGTCTTATCTTGTTCCCTCCTTTGAAAGTAGGAGAAAAATCAAGAAATAATCAACACAGCCAAGCTTTTCTTTTTGTTTACTTGGAAAACTTGTTTTAACCATCAACTTTAGCAAATTTTGGCAGTTACAAACCTGTACACTTTTTTTTTTTTGTTGTTTTGTTTTTATAGCAAAAGAACACAAGACAATACTGCCAACAGCAATTATGAAGGAACAATTAGTTTTCAGATGAAGGACTATACCCACTTAAAGTGATAAACCTTCCCTTTTGCATAAGGTTGAATTCGTTGTCATTGGCGGAATGACATCTCTTAATCACCTACTCGAAATGGCATAAAAATCATATTTCTAGTTTTTTGTGCAAAGCATATTCATTTAAAAAAAGTCAATAAAAACAATCTTCTTAAAACCAGAAAAAAGTTAAACAAAAAGAGCTGAACCCAAAGGAAAGTTACAGTACATTTTGAAATGATTAAAAAAGTTTTCAAATCTAAAACTTTTTTGTTTTTTGTTTTTGCTGTTACCTTAGAAGTTTAAACCAACTTTGATGATTCTTTAGAATTATATCAAACAAACAAACAAACAAAAAAAATTAAAGCGACCTGATTGGCATCAAATATCTACAAAAGCCTGGTAATTTGAAACCATTATATACATTATTTTATAAACTTCTTTTGAAACACCAAAACATACATCTTTTACAAACCAGCCTGCTTGCGACAGGTAAAATTTACAAGACAATCTTTTCCGATACAGTGCTTTAAAGAGAACTGCTTTCACCCCTAAACATCTTTGTCACCTCCTGAAAAGCGGCAGTATGGGCTCATTGCATTGTTAAATAATAGCAATTCAGGTATTCCTATGGTGAATGCTACAGTTCCGAGGGCTCCAATCTCTTTCCATAATACAGTTCAAGTGCACTCTTAACACTGGTAAAGATTACTTATGGCCTTTGTGTAATACGACATATTTGTAATTATTGCTTTTCATTATTACATAAATAAATGAATTTAATTACATTTCCTCCCTATCTGCCCATCCCTTGCATGATGCAGCTAATTTACTAACTGAATGGCCCTTCTGATAATGGAGATGTTAAATGTCAAGTTTATGAAACACAGGCTAAAAGCCATGGATAATGGGCAATAGTCTAAAATTCTAAGGCTCAAATCTCAGTTTGGTGTATTGAGAGGAACAGAAATGTGAACAGGCAATAAGCACAGTTTTACTACATGGTAAATGTAGTAAACCACCAGAGAATGAATCTGAAGATGTAGCTCTCACTGGAAACCTATGAAACGTTCATTATTATTCAGTGAATAGCTCCAAAAAATACCAACAAAGCACAGATGTATTATCACTACTGGTTTTAAATAGATGTTTTTCTCCATTATTAGGGATGCTACCTTTTCAAACAAAGCTTAGCAGAACTGTTCCAGGGCCCTTCAACTCTCTCTCCCATGACTACAGACATTACTGGCTGTGAGGACACACTATAGCATCCATTTAGCATTTTCAAGCGGAAGGTCGATGAGGAGTAAGGCTGTGTTCTTAAACATTTGTCAAGTTCCAGCCCAGATTTCTCTTTACAATGGAATTTATATTGAGCCAAGAGCAACAGTTTCTATGTCATGTTCTCATACTTTACCACCTGCCTGGCTCGCAGAGACAAAAGGCTGCCGCTGCCTCATTAATCAGCATTCAGTGGCACGCATTTTTTCACTGTGCGGCACCCACTCTGAGTTGCTAACAGGAGTGGGTACCAATACATCAAGGATAGCACTACTTCAGGCTACGCTAGAGAATTCTGAGGACCAAAATTTAACTTTTCTGTGGGATGTGCAGAGGGGAAGAGCCTGCTTGAGAGATAGAACACTCAACTTTCTGATTTCAGGAAAACAGTGGAAGTGAAAAGCCTTTTACTGCAGCTATAGGCTAAAGAAATCATGGGATAATTCAGGATCTAAGACATCACTGAGCTTTAAGAAAATAGCTTGAGTGCCTGGAAATCACAGTACTGTAATGAATCTCTGCACTGCAACATCCTCCTGGTTCCCTTCATATGCTGGGTCCTACAATAAGGCAACTTAAGGGGGGGTATTCTAGTGGGGCTGTCCATTTGACCCCATGGGAGGGAAGTGATTCTGCAGCTCCTTGGTGTCACCTTTGTCCCTCTGCCTTGCTGTAAGATACTGGCTCAGGACAGCAATCACATCGAGTATCTGTGGCTTTGTGGTTTTAATTTTTTTGCCTTTTTTTTTTTTTTAAGATATTTATAACACAAAGGCAAAATAATTAGCATACTTAAGAAAGATACATAACCCTATTTTTTCCTTTTGTACAAAGCCACCTAATATGGTATTGATAGCACAAATTTGTTGTCAGTCACTTCAAGGCTCTTTCCATTGCCTAAGTTATCAAAAAGGCTGTCAATGTGCATGACATTCTCAACCTGATCAAAACACAGAGAACAAGCACCCTTTTACACAGACTCATACATCCCTGGCAAATCAGTGATTTCTGATACAAGCATGCATTTGCATTTTAACAAGTTGCTTATTTCCTTTGTTGTTTCTTCACAAAAAAATCAATGACTGTCTTGATCCTAATAGTTATAATCCACTGATACTTAAAAGTACTTTATTAAGTCTATGAAATCTGTTCTACAGATGATTCCCAAAGAAAATACCGTGGAGTGGAGCCATCTACAGGAATGTGAACTGAAATACAGACACACTGTATAAGCAGAGATGTGAGGGGAAGCTCTAACTGGCAATGACAGGAGCAGATATAGAACAATCATCAAATGGCAGAAAAATAAATATATATTGGATGGAATAATATCAACACTAATTCTTGCATTAGGTTATGAATGTGTTGTTATCTTCCATGTTACAAGGTTACAGCTTGTCCACGTGGAGCAGTAATTTAAAAGAAAATAAAATGGTTTAGATTAACAAGAGAGATGTTAATATGAAAATCTTATTCCCTAAGAGGTATTTCACCTTTAGATCTGCATTTGGGTGTTCTCATTATCAAACAGAGCTTAAAGAAAACCAGGAAATCCACAGAAGTACCAATATTCACAGAGGAACATCTGTTTAAAAATGGATTAGGCCTATTCAATTTGGATGGGAGGAGATATTGAGGTATAGAAATCATGAGTGGGACAGAGAAGGCTGAGTGGGTGATCCTTGGCACCTTCCCAACAGCACTTTAATAAGTAGGCGTTCAGTGAAATGAAATGGCAACAACATCAGAACAGAAAATTACTATACATTGTATTTATGCATATTTTACTAGTAAAACTTACTACCAACAAGATATTTTTGAGGCAACAAGCTTGGTAAGAAACATTGATTTTTTTATTTCATTTTTTTTTTTTTTGTATGGCAATTGCTAGGCTCCCATGGTGTCGTCCCTCATGACACTTTTGATATGGCCCAGTAAAGTTTTGATATCAGTGTCTCAGGCTTACCCAAGAATTTTCACTAGAGAAAACAGATGGCAAGTACACTTCATAACTAGCTGGGGGCTTGAATAGAACTAAATGCATAATGGGTAAAAATGTCTCACATCAAAACTGAGTAGGAGAAAACCTCATGTGAACTGCAGCTCGATGCTAAGAGAGCATTACATTCTCAGAAAGTCATACCAGCTTTAAAAGTGCAGCTAAATGTGCAGCTTTGTTTTTCAAACTCAGATGTTCCTACTCTTGAAGAGACATCAATCTAATTGCATCTGCTTTCCTGCAACATAGACTTCATGAACAATGCAAGTCCTCTATCTGTGCCTCTGGGCTTGCCAAACCATTGCATATTGGCAAATAGCTCAGTTCCTTGCAATCGCGATACAAATTTCCATATTTTTTATCTTCTTGAAAACACATGGATAGTAGCAGGGAAAAGGGGTTGAAACGTACCAGGAGCACATTCAGAATATATCACTGTTACAGAAGCATGTTTACTTTGAGAAGACCAAGTGACATTCATTAATTCAATGGACAGGAACTATTTGCAAACAAGTACTTGATAATACTTGTATGTGCAGTACATTCTTCTAGAAGTTCACTCAATTTATTCATGTACCTGTATAATGAGCTGTTATCTAGTGAAGAATTGTTGCATGATCCCAAAGAAAATATCTACACCAACCTTTCACAGCTGTATGAGCTACTGGAGGGAAGCAGCAACATATTGTACCTACTCTGAGAATTTTAGAAATCCTATTTTATTAAAAGTGTTACAAGGTGCAATTATTTAAATTACATTCTATTATTAATTGCTTTGTGTTGGGGGCAATTTCTGAATAAACAAATCCTGTATGTCAAGGAATGGCCCACAATTTAATTTAGGGTGAAACTCAAGTCAGTCAAGAACATGCCCTGGAATACAACTGCTGGAACTATTCAGTTAAGATGTCTGACCAAGAGACAGGACATGGAAAGCAGCAGAGGAAACCTGCTAATTAATCTGTTCATCTATAACAACAATTTATGTATTCAATAGCTTTTGAGAAGGACTGAATTATGCCACGGAAGGAATGGATGAAACCCCAGCAGTAATGCATGCAGACTGAAGACTCACATTCACTGTATAGGGTATATGTTGTAAAATGCAGTGGTGAAAACATTTTCATAGCACTGAGCAACAGGTATGTATATTCTGCTTTAATACGTTGAGTGAAAATCCTGTATTTCCATATTGCATTTAGCTGCTCAGGTCAAATCATACCGGTCATGGTTTTCCTCATCCCACAACAATATTCTGAAGTTTGCAACAACCTTTGGAAGTCCTCAGATCCTATGAAATCACACATCTAGTAGAAAATCTAGGGCCAGATCTTTGGCCGCAGCCCATCCGTGCAGTTCCACCGACTGAGTCAGTTTACAGCAGCTGAGAATTCATCCCGTAAACTCTAAGGATGGACGTTTTCCAAATGACGTTACGCTAATGATTTGAGGTTACAGCAGCGTTATATGCAACTTAATTGCAACTAATTTTATGGCAATAATTGTAGTATGATGACTGCTGTTAAAGAGGTGATTGCCTAAGCAAGGAATTTAAAAAAAACCAGCAGCACTTCGTAGATAGTTAGAATTCCCAATTTGTTCAGGTACATGTTCACATCGCATACAGAAGTCAAAGGAGGCCGTGCATATGCAGCTGGGGCAAAACTGTGAGATAGAACACTCAACTTTCTGATTTCAGGAAAACAGTGGAAGTGAAAAGCCTTTTACTGCAGCTATAGGCTAAAGAAATCATGGGATAATTCAGGATCTAAGACATCACTGAGCTTTAAGAAAATAGCTTGAGTGCCTGGAAATCACAGTACTGTAATGAATCTCTGTAATGAATCTACTGGGCCAAACTCTGACATTTCTGGTCCTCACAGGTGAAGTTATGCACATGCATCTGACATCAGGTTTTAAAAAATGGCAACCAAAGTAGGCCAATTTGGAGTAAATATATGTTGCATATATGTTGCTCTATATGCACACAACGTAGAATGAAATGCTATTTAACAAACAAAAGTACAGGTAATTATTTATGAACAAATGACTGGTCACTTGTCTTTGATAGGTCACTTTGTAAATGATGTTTTTTCAGCCCTCTGACATGCTGTACACAGCAGCCTCAGCGATCAATTGCTTTCACTCTTTTGCTGACATAAAATTTCATGCAATGGTGCATCTTGGAATGATGCATACCATCTCCTTAATACTGTACACTGTAACACTTTTAATACAATAGCAGAACAAAAAAAAAAAAAAAAATCAGACTTTGGAGGAGAGAAAGAAATTATTTAGCAATTATTGTTTCCCCTGCCTCAAAGGCTGTTTTGCTCTTGGTAATAAATAGAAGGTACATACTCTCCAGATTGTCTGTAAGAATTTTGTGATATATAATGCTTAACACAATTGGTCTCTTTGTGTCTGCACATACAGTATCATTTCTGAACAAGTTAATAATGGGTTATACTGTATTTTGCCTCGCCCAATATATATAGATACACCTTCAGCAAAATTTCTTCTCAATATTTATACTATTAATTGGACCAAATTACAAAAAAAGGGAAAAAAAAAAAAGAAGAGGAGGAAGAAGAATAAGAAGGGAGCTTCCTTTACACTTGTGTCTGATGCTGGGTCTCCACAAATGGAATGTGAACATTTTCTAGGTTGAGCTCCTCCACGCTTTCATAGTCACTCATGGCTACTTCGGAGTCATCAAAGCCACAGCTGGCTGAGACGTCAGAGGAGGAGGCATCTAGAGAGTTGTGCAAGGATAAGGTCATCTTACCTGCACTAACGTTTTCTGTGTTCTGGCTTGGGCCAACAGCAAAAGTACTAAATTCATTCCCAGTCTGAGACCCTGCAGTGTCTGTCTCATTGGGGAACTGGTGAGGAGGGAGGTACTGGCTAGGGTGGAAGTGTGGCCGTCGCCTGCAATCGGGGCTGAGCGTACTTGCCATTGAGACCGGCTGCGAGGGCGGGAGGGTTTCATATTGGTCTGGAAAATCCTCTGGAAGAGGAGGTGGTAACTGGTCCTGGCTTAAAAACTCCTCTTCGTGAGGGGGAGGGTAGTCGCTGTCAATGTCGTAGCCACCAAGGTAGTAATCTGTTTCCAGCTCTCTGGTACTGCCGTGATGAGCCGAGCCTCCATCTGCTGTCTCAAAATTGGGCACTTCCTCAATGTCAGACAAGCGAGCACTTGGCATCCAGTCAGAGGTATCCCAATGATACGCTGCAGCAAGGAAGAGAAACACAGTGCTTCATTTTCATGGGGCCGCTAATGAGAGCAAAATGTTCTGCATGCACTTGCTTCTTAATCCTCACAGCACAGTCAAATCACAGCATGCGCCACAGGCCATCCACACAGGTCAGCCATGCTCTGACCGGAGGGGCAGAGGAGGAGAAAAAATTGTATTATGATGCTAATGCAAACAAGCAAAAAACCAAAACATGACCACTCTCAGGCATTTCACTTTTCAGGATGCTACTGGGTTGTATTAGAAACTATGAGTCCAAAAATCAAAATGACAAAAATCTCTGAATTAATGCTTTTCACAGTTAATTGGAAAACTCTATAAATGCAGTCAGCATGCTTATGGTATCACATCTAGTCTCCCCTTCCACCTCTAATGACTTCATTTCAAGAAAGAAAGTGTGCAAGCAAATAATCTGATCGACTGAAAACTGGATCCTGAAATGAAAGTGGTTGGCCATTCTCATGCAGTATTTGAACCCAATAGAATTAAAAAAAAAAGAGGACACATGAAGCAGTTCTAGAAAAAAACAGGTCAAATCAGTGCCCTGCCCACCCCAGCCCAGTTCTACAGGCAGAAAGTGTCTCAGAAAAATCACCTCTGTTGTAGTTCTGTCCTTGATCCATAACAGACACTGTCAGATACAAAGTGAAAAGTAAATACTGGTAACTTGGCGCTTGTTACCAGCATTGTATTACATGTGAAAATACAAAACTCTGCATGCATATTTCTAAAATACAGCTGCCTGGGTGTCATTTTAATAGGATTTTTAATTGTTCTTTGTTTTAGCATACAAGATAAGCTTGCCCAGTCAAATGCAGACATACATAAAGAAATTATTATGTTGTGTATTATATTCCTTTTCTATCATATCTTAATTATTTACCCTCACTGAACAGATATGGAATTACATTCGAGTTTGAATTCTTAATACAAAAAGGGCTATCCACCATCTCTACGGTTTATAATTGCAAAGTACATTTCTCTCTCACTTGTTCACTTTGAAACAGAAAAATAAGAATCTACCATTCTCAGGGCCGGTTCAAACAAATCTGGGCCCACCTGGGCTCAGATACCATGGTGATGGGCACGGTATAAGAACCTGAATAGAATAGAATACAAAGCCATTTAATGGGGCTGTCAGCTACAATGCCTCACAACCCCATACCCACCTCCCACCTGCACTGCCATGCTAGCTGGTGGGGAGGGAGGCATTCCAGTATGGAGAGGGTGCAGGGGTAGGGGAGAGAGCAAGGAAAGAGGTTTTATGTGAGACAAGAGCGGGGAATAAGCTGCAGCGTTTTCTAGATGAGATGCTCTTGTTCAGCCACATGTTATTGGGCTTCATGCAAGAAGTCACTGGGCAAGGGCTCTGGACTGCATTGCTGGAGGAGGTCTGGCCAGATAAATAGACCTTTAGGGAATTACAGTACTTAACCTCTAGGGCTCAACCACAGAAGAGGACAGAGAAGACTATTCTCGAGGCCTCCATCTAATAACACCACTCTTACCCTTGCTTACCACCACATGGTGCATGGTGATTTCTTCATTAGCTCCATAGCCAGACAGTAGTTTCCTACCTGCCCTGCGTTAGTCTGGGGTGAGGAGGGTTGGGGCTACTCAGGTTTGGCAGCAGTGTCTGAACCGGCCCTAACCACTCTTGTCCTTCTTCACTTCTCTCTTGTTTGTAAAGCAGATTTTGCTGTCTTTTGGTCAGTGTAATGACATTGCACCCGAGATGTGTCAGGTCTCTCCAAGCTGTGTGGTTTCAGGATCCAGGAGAACCTCACTAATTTTCTGACTCGCACAACCCCCAGCAGCTCCCTGGAGAAGGAGCCCCAACCTCTCGTGGCTCCACGGCAGCGATTTTGCCTGTTGTGCACCAGGAGCTTCGGTGCTGGTAACTATTCACTGCTTTCACCAGCTCCGTGGCAGAGAATGCAAGATTCATAAGTCTCATATAAGGAACGGGGAAGTGGACAAAGAATTTTCAGTTACAGCCTCTTGAAACTGCTGCCAGACTGGCTTTTTGTGACCTGTAGAGCATGATGGGGAGCCAGTGTGTTTGCTTAAGATTTCATTTAGGAAGTCAAGGCCATTTACAGTGTCTGTGGTTTCTTTTCAAGGTTATTTTCTTGTTTTTTGAGTGGGACTTTCTTTTTGAATTAACCTTGCCTAGTTCATTTTATTTGATAGTAAGAAGAATGGCGCTTTTACACTTCAGGAAATTAGTAGATATACTATAGACAAATACTCTGGTGACATCACTAGCTAGGAGTAAAAGTGCTTTTCAAAATTACCGTGACACTGGCTCAAGAAAAAAAATCAGTAATTTCATAGAAATAATCTACTTGATCGTGTTTAAGCATTAGGTAGACTGGATTATCTGAAGTCTGCAAAACCTGGCTTAAATTTGCTAAAGATGGATGAAAATTGGGATTTGTGGATAACTTGAGCTGATGCTGACATTGTCCCAAGGATAAGTTAAATGTTATATAAATAAATAAAATTTATGTTTATCTATGATACATCACATTTCCTTGGTACTTTACAGAAGAGGAAAATAGTGATATTCCTGTTTTACAGGCAGGGAAACCAGTTCACTTGTAACATGATGTGCCTGAGGTTACCCAGGAGGTGAGTGGCAGAGCTGAGTGTTGGGTCCTTGGGCCCAGCTGCCATGCTCTATTCAATGGGCACATCAACCCCAGGGGACAGGCAGTGGCAGGCAGGCTACCTTGCCACATGTCATCCATGGAGTTGTGTCTACGCATCTTCTGTCTGACAGTGTTGCCTGGGAGACACCAGCCACCTGCCTATCACCACTTTTCTCCTCTCCATGTGGTCCCAAATGAGTGCATAACTCGACTCTACTGCAGCCTGGGACACTTTACAGCCTTCCTGTGTCGTCTTCTGCTTCCCAGTCTCTGCAGCCAGGATAATCTCAATGATTTGGCTCCTTTATCAACCTAATCTTCTCTGAAGTCAATGGGAATAAGCAAGCAAAAACATTGACTTAAACAGAAGAGGGTGAAGGTCTTGACACCTTTTCTACCATGTGCAATTATCCACAGGTAGTTTGTGGCACATCCCTCTGGTGTTTTCATGCTTGCTGATGAACATGCTGATCTGCAAAACCCAATCCCTGCCACAGGTTTGCTGGTCAGTGTAGCTTAGTGAGGTTCTGCTGGAATGTTTCACAATGAAAAGAGGAAGCATTTTTGCATAACAAGAAAGAAAAAAATGTAAATACCTTCATTTTCTATAGTGTCAACTACATTGTTGACAAGCTGTATGACAGTCACTATGGAAGCTTGCAGGGGAGGGAAAGCAGAAAATAAAGGGAGGGAAGGACAGCTTCAGGTTAGTATTTAAAACACACATCATATGTTACCACAATAAATTCTCTCAAACAGACAGAACTGACATTGGGAAAAAAAAAAAAAAAAAGGCTGCTGACCAATGCATGATTTATGCAGTGGGTTGCAAGACATTTCATTTCAGATAATCCCATACATTTTCAGAGTGGTGATAAATTCTAAACCAGCATTTCCAGCAAGGCATATGAGATGATGTGTATCACCTCATAAATTCAAGCAGATTGGCCAGCTGATTCAATTAACCAAAGCAGTATCTTGTCTACCTGACACTAATTTTGAATTCATTCTTGCTTAAAGGTCTCCAGAGACACTGCCATGTGCTCCAAGGGATTATTATCTTTTAGACCATCACACTATCTGAAATGGTGCTAAGATCAATCTATTGCCTAAGAGGAATGTTTTATTTACTGTTTGTGCTGTGCCATGTAATACCTCTGGGATGTTAAGCAGTACTGCTATAATTAGGAGGACACATCCAAGTAGGTTTGGTTCAAATTTTGATCTGCGTTTGACAGAATATTTTCACAAATGCTTTGTGTATTCTCTGCAGGTATTTTACCCAAACATACTCTTCACTTGAAATTATTAATACAGATTGTGAAATTGTTTAATGTGGAGTCAAACAGGCCTACAATGTGTGGTTCTCTAGATGATCTGCATTTTGTAGCAACTAACACCCCTACTTCTGAGGATCTGAAATAAAACCCACCAAAACCAGAGGGAAAGCTCTGTACCAGGCCCATCCCTTTTCCTTTGTCTTTAATTATGAAAAAAATGATTGCTTTTGATCAGGCTAAGAATGGGACCAGGAATGTTGGTCAAGACATACTTTTTTGTTTCAGACAGACAATAGACTTGTTAACAGTAATAGCGCCATTCAAATATATGTTGAGTATTTTGTTGTCTTTGTTAAATTTTGGGCATGGGATCAAGGATCTCATCCAATTTCCTCAGTCCTTGTGAAAGCTTGGAAAAAAGAGCCTTGATAAACCAAAGAAACCATGTTCTATGTCTACATTGAGCATGTTTATGTCATCAACAGCACTGGTAGTTGTACAGGGGAGACTTGTATTGTCTAATGCATAAAAACCATTATGGAAGAATAAGTGACTCCATGTAATTAGCTGCTGGGAAAAGAGATGGAGGACAGTCATAAACCCTAAGAGGAGAACAACCAAGAGTGAAAAACAGAAGGTCAAAAATCAGGGCCAGCAGAGTTTTCATTGAAACTAAGGGTTGGCTCTGATGGAAGCTGAGCAGAGCATGTTCATGGAGGGAGGGAAACTTCTGCTCCAGGCAGCTCAGCACAAAGCAATACCCAAATATAGCATTTCTTGGGGTAAAAATTGCTGTCATCAACAGCAGTTCCTTGGACTTTCCAGCACAACCATCCATCAGCCTGCAGTGAAACACTAACCTAAAAATGCACTTTTGTCACATCCCCCCCCACATTCAAAATATCTTACCATGCACACCTGTAACCTGTCTTTGAAGTGATTTCTCAAAATATTATCACTGAAAGTGGGTAACGTTTTTTTTTTTTTAAATTTGTCGTTAGTAAAAGTTTTTGCTTTTTAATCACAAAAAATACTGCTAACCACTCTCAGCTAGACTAGGGGAGCTGAGGAATTTAAATGCAATAGAAATAAGGTAGAAAAAATAAAAGGAGGTTTAAAATCACACCTCAAAGGGGTTTGTAAGGTAAGACAACCTCTATTTGACCCAGTAAAAGAAGTTTCCAAGCACCGTGGAGGGGGTGAGTGGAGGCTACCCACACCTGATACAAACTGAACAGCATAGGGCTGTTCACACCTTTGGCGGGACGCGTCCCAGTGCTTCTCTGGTGAAAAACAGGTCTCCTCAGTTGCAAGTGATTAACTAGTTTCACAAGACTGTTGGCATAGTCATTGGCACACACAGCGGGCTGTGTGAGCACCTGGCAGCATTGCTCTTGGTTTTGGAGGAACAAGTTTGGAGAAGGTTCAGCCTGTCCTGTGTCCCCAAAGAGTATGGGTGCTGAATTGCTTCTGCTGTGGTTTCAATGACAACCTTTTAGCCTTTGCAGGGATGTGAAGTGCAAAGAATTAAAATGACAGGAAGAGGAAGGATTTATGGCTTCAAGAGGGATATCCGCTATGTATATGTATATGAGCATGTATATGCTTACTTATTCCTGTGTTTATGTTTTAGGCTCCTTCACTGCAAACCTTCCCTGCTGCAGCAAGAAAACCAGAGCATGCAGTCTTGCACTGACCTCTGCAAACGACTCAGATGATTTAAGTTTCTTCTCTCATTCACCCTGAAGATACAGATTTTGTTTAGACCCTGAACTAGAATTGTTATCTCTAAAGGTCATATTTTAAATGCAGCTTTCACAAAAAACGAGCAGGCACAGAAGGTCCAATCCAGCTCCAGTGAGTACTGCATCACTGATTTAAATGGGGGCAGGATCAGATGCTTGAAAATCCTAATTAAAAAAAGTAACTGTGTACAATAAATGATCACCTGAATAATTATTCTAAAGGTAATTATAATATAAATATATATTATTAAAATAATAATAATTACATTAATTATTTTAAAAAACACCAAAGGGTTTCTTTTCGGTGCAGGGGCAGAAAAGCACTGAGAAACTTGACAAAAATACTTATGATTCTTCAGCCATAGCTGAACCTAAAGGAACTGCAAGTGCACTTTGCTTTAAGTGCTTTTTTCAACATTTAAGAGTACCTAGGGAAGAGCTGCATGACATGACTGAGGAACTGAGTCTCCAGACAGTTCATTAACTGGCGGCTGAGGAAACTAAGTACAGTTTCTTTGTGCTAATCTTTTTCTGTGTATCTGAATGAGGCTTTCCTGACATCCATCATCCCTCCCTGGCAGAAACATCTTGCCTTTTCTCAGACTCAACGCTCAACATACATGGGCCGTAGGAACAAAGGTTTGCTCTGACTTTGTAGGCCTCTTTCAGGCTGTGTATGGCTCTGCCCATGTCACCCACTGAGATAATGATGTAGGACATGGGAGCAGGCAATGAACATGCACTGTGCAAGGATTTAATGGTGCTCTATTGTTCGCTGAGCTGTGATTGCCAGGGAGAGGCCAAGCCACCAGGGACTGGCTCATCCACTCATTGCTGCTGCTGAGCACCAGCAGAGTTTTGCTGGGACCATGAATGAGACCTGGCAAACGGCACTGACATTCCCTTTAATTTGACTGATGAAACACGAAAGCCACCCTCTTCCAAGAGGGAAAATGATAGAAATTCTACTGTTTCACTTGCAACGTAGTAGTCAACTTACAGCTTGGCAATGTGACTCTGCTTTATCACACCTCTAATACACTGTAAAGCTTGGTACTGATACAACAGCACCAAGCATCAAGAGCTTAATTATGTTCCTATAATTTAAAAAATGGACATAAAGTGAATGTTTGAACCCAGGACTTTCTGACTTCTAGCATCATTAAAGCATTTTCTAGATGTTACCTAAATGTTTTTAATAATACTAGAGAGTGAAATAGCTTTGTTGCTAGCATAATAATGATAAAAACATTTCTTACCATTATCATCACCGGAATCAGACTGGAAGGAGCTGAGGGACTGTACTTCAGAGTTGCTGCCTTTATTACTTCCTGCAAAACAGGTCACTTCTTCAGCGTCATCAACTCCTTTACCTTCATTGACAGCAAAAACAAAGCAAAATGGAACTCTCTAGGTATGCACATTTGCCTATTTATACCACGGAGCCATTTAAATCCTACCAACAAATAGCCTTCTATTATTTTTGTCAGAATCAAATTATTTCCTTCAGACAGAGGAAATGACCTATAGGTCAGGAAGGTAGGTGATGAAGATACCTAGACTTTTGAAGCGTTTGAAGTCCAAAGAGTCTTTCAAGGAATAAACATCTGTATTCAGTATTGCCTTTTTAGGTGACGTATTCTCAGCAGTAAAGAAAACGATGACTGAAGAAATGTAGTATAAACATCTTATACAAGAGATTACAGTTGCATTTATCTTTACTGTTCATTTCCTAATTTGAGAGCCTCATTAAAGGCTCATTCAATGCTCAATAAACTTATTGTGCATCTCTTTATTCTTATCAGTCGCCCCTGGATCAGATTTTAATGGCTCCACCACCGACATATAATAGTATGCTTCATTTTACATTGCTTTTCATCAGGGACATTCAGTCTTGACAACTCTTCCACAGTTCAGAAATGTAACTGCAGCCTGTGGTATAAATTCTTGTGTAATTAAACACACATAAATAGACACATTCAACTACAAATTATATGAGTGATAATAAGGAACACAAAAAGTTATCCTCCATAGTAAGCGCCAAGATAGATACCTGAGCTAATTACAAATGAACAAGCTCAGGTGCTGCAAACATGTAAGTACAGCTCTCCACCTGCTAGCTGTAGATATTTCTACCCAGCATGGGGCACTTCCAGACAGAAAGGGCTGATTTGCTCCTGCTGAGAAGCAGGAATGTAGTAGATGGAGCGAGTGCTGCAGTAGCGATGCTGCACTGCTTCCCTCTCCTTGACAGCTGAGGTCTGTCTCCATGGCGTGGCCTCATGCTGTGCAGAAATTCATATAGATACCAGCAGTGCCTGTGGCAGAAACACCCAGGAGAATACAGAACAGAGCACGTATGGGGGCTGGTCTGCTGATGCTTTCAATCAGCAAAACTATATTTAATGGTTAAAAAGGTCAACCACAACATAACCGTGAAATACAGCCTAAAGAAATGAAAATTCATTCCTGTTTTTCAGTAGAAGAGCCTAGTCAATGTGCTGCCTTAGATGAAAATGTGCAGGTCCGGGCACAGGTATGAGGCAGTGCCAGACTCCTCGCTCTTTTCCTCAATTCCTATTGCCTAAAACTATGGGACTATGGAAGTGTCTGGATCGTGGAGTTTTATTTGACAGTTTTGGTTAAGGCTGTGTTGCAGGGGGGTTGAAGATGCATTAGGAAAAACTACTAAAAAAAGAAAACATCATTAAAAACCCCCTGTATGCTAAAGCAAACAATTCCCAGATCATATGACATGTTCTGACTTGCAAGGGTAGACAATGTAGGGCTGTAACTTTGCCCCAGCAAACTGGTATTGCCCGCTGTGACAGAATACGTGAAGTTTGCTGCATCTCCAGCAACTTGTTCAGGAATGGAGGGGGCACTGTGTTATCAGGTGAGAAACCATCAGAACACAAATAGGGTAAGTGTGGGGATCAGAAATTTTGGGTCACTGATACTGAATGCAGATGTGAATGCAGTGGATTGAAAAGGTGATCTTGTAAGAAGCAGTGCATGATTTTCTGCTTAATTTCATAGACACTGGGAGTAGAGAACATTAGTCCATTTGTCCCCATTACAAAACAGGATTGCTTCTTGCAGCAAATTTAACTCCCCCAGGAGACAAACTGCCCAAACCTAGCAGAGTCTATATTTGAGAATTCTGCCCCAAGTTATTTTTTTCCAATAAAAAGATGATTGCATTGTATCACCTGAAGAACTAATGCTCAGAGCACTTACTCATATGTGCTTTGTGAACAAGTGAAATAAACGTGTTTAGTCATACTTAATGCATAGACGTAGAGATTTTGTATGCCTAGTTTACTTATAACCTTTCAAAATTAAACCAAATCACTTCTTGGAGAAATGTAACAATTTCAAGCGTATGATGTAGGAGCATCGAGAGTACCTGTGACACTGTACCTGCTGCACCCTGCAGGGAGCCCTTACCTACGGTAGGGAAGAATGAGACGAGCATGCAGCTGTACTTACTTTCTGTCCCAGCATCCCACGTGCTTTTCCTGATGGAATCGCAGTCGGAACGACAGGGAGACACGGCGGGCAAGTTTGGAGCCACACTGCACACCACCACCCCCCGCCTGGCTGTCAGTATTCGAGGGGACTCAGGATGAAACGTTGTCATCTCCTGGTGCTCCACGCCAAGCCCATCCACTATCTTGTCCAAGTTATTCCGTGAGTCACTCTGGAAGCACGGGGTATAGGCCATAGGCCTCACTGGGACCTGGGGAGGCCCAACCTCTTGGTAGATATTTCTACTGTCTCCACTGTTCCTGATGTTCTTGAACTGGATGCCGTTGCTCTTGTTGAGCAGGGCGGCAGTAGCCGGATCCTGTACAAGTGTGATGTTGTTGCGGGAATAGTTCTTCCTGAATACTTTCTTACGAAAGATGATAAAGAGGATGATCAACACAAATATGACAAACAGGACCACAGCTATTCCTATCAGCTCCTCCTTGCCAACGTATGAATGCCCAGCTTGTATATTGGGAACCACCACAGGGCGAAGACCACAGTATTGCCCCACATACCCAGGGGTGCAGTTACACAGAAATGAACCAAATATGTTGACACAAGAGCCACCATTTTCACATTCTTCTCTTTCACACTCGTTGATGTCTTCTTCACACCTTAAAAGAAGAAAAGGGGAGTTTGGATTTTGGAGAACATCTAGCAAACAGCCCAGCTTGTACACGATAACTTATCTTGTCAAAGCAGTACCATTACAATTAACATCTTGCTGGTGCTTGGCAAATGATCTTATAATTATCATATTATTTAATGGTATTTAATGTTTTCTACAGCTATTCCAAGGCTTTTTAAGACAATAACATGGAAATACTGAGAACGAAATAAGAATCTAATACATCTGATAGGAAAAGGCTTCTTGACCCTAATGAAGCTCACTGGATGTAATAGACAGTATTGGTCTTTTAAAATTTTTTTTGGACCATCCCATGGGATTCAATACAAAATATTAGGAAAATTAAAGGAGAAGGCAGTTGAGGAAAAATATAGTAAAAAAATCAGAGAGTACTTATTTAAGAGAAGAGGATATACTGACTGTGTAAAATCATTAAGGGCTGGAGATGAAATGAGCAAATATTAGAGACGCACGGGAAAAAATGAACAGGAACCTTAAAGAGAGAGGAGAATTGGAAAGAAGAAGAAGTGATCAAAAAAAGGCAGAACAAAAAGTACAGGCAGTAGACAAACTAGATGAGAAAAAAGCATGTTGATAGGCAGGTCAGGAGATTTTCTGCTTTCACACCAAGTATATGATCAAGGCAGGGATTTTAAAAAATGAATGCAATAAATTAGGCTTTTATATCAGGGCTAAGGTGATGAAATAACGGGTCCATTTTCAAACAAAAAGATTACCTAGCAGTTTCCACTGTCTTTATGGGATTGCTCAAAAAACATCTAAAACTTAGGTGTGTGTATCTCAGTTACAACTGTCTAGAGATAACAACCTGAAATAATAATTTAGGAGGTCAAGTTCAGAAAAACATTTCTGAATGCAGGCCTTGTGGATTTCTCACCTGTCATTAGCTTATACTTGCTTATACTTATAATATGCCCAATCAATAAAAACGCCATCACTGAATGAAAAGCTCCTGTTGCCCATCTGGAGAGGGTCACTTACGTTACTCCCGTCAGGCCATTTTTGCAGTTGCAGATGAAAGCGTTGCCGATGGGATCACATGAGCCTCCGTTCCGGCAGGGATTTGGGAAACAGGCTGTGATCTCTGACTCACAGTTTCTTCCCGTAAACTGGGAGAGGCAATTGCACTGGTAGCCTAGGAGGTGAGGGACACAAAGAAATAAATTAGAAGCCTACCACTGTATCTTCCTAGAAGCAAGGGGATCCATTGGGCTACTTTACTCCAAAAAATATATTTTACTGTAGGGGGAGAGGGAATGTTTATACTCATTCTGGTATGTCTGTGTGGTCCATACTAATGCTGGTAGAGAGTTTGTTTATCTGGGATGTCTGGACTATCGGGTCTCATGTTTAGAACCAGGGACCAGAGGAATTGCTGCAGCCCAGACCATCCTGATCGTTATGATTCAGATAAGAATAAATGTCATTCATGAACAACTTTGGTCACAAGAAATATTCTAGATCAAGGATGCATCTCCCAGTATTTTTGAAAATACAAACCATATTTGCTGACAAAGGCAGCCCACACTCCTTTAGGGGCTTCACTGAAGAACAAATAAATGAGTTGAGAGATTTTCCACATCTGCCTTTTACAAGGACAACACAGTAGGGATGACAGTAATAAAACACTTGGTAGTGATACTTGCCACTTACATAAAGTGTATCATCTGGGCATGAACTATAAACTCCATAATATCAGCTGAACTGGGCAATGACAGCCCTAATCAGAGCTGATTATGTGCAGTGTGTGCTGTTAAGAGACTGATTAATCACTGGCTGCAATACATCAGACATAACTCCACTCAGGTGGAAGGGGACCCTGTAAGGTATCCAAGTCCTACTTCCACATTTATTGCCAACAGAGGAACAACATCAGAGTAAAAACCAGTTTTTAAAATCATCAGTTCACTCTGCCAAGTATCGAATGACAAATATTCCCCCCTGCTTCCCTTCCCCCCCCCCCCCCCCCTTCTGATTTCATGTGGCACAATGCCGTTAATAAAAACTTTGTTTAAGATCACAAAGAAATCCAGTGAGGCAGTGTATGTCTCTCTATATTGTGAAGAAGATATTGAAATACAAGTGTTTTTTCACTCAAAAAACCCAAGGAACATATAGGTTTTGAAAGCCATGAGATGGCTGAGGCAGTCCCTTAATGGGATGGAAAAACTCCTAGATTAGAGATGTTAAACTAATAAAATTTTCTTAAGTATCTGTAAAAAACTTTGGCTGATTTTTTAAAAAACTACTTAGAGAATCCAAATGCCCCCAAAAGGTGTGTAGGCAAGGTTCAAGCTCCAGTTACGGAGTTCATATATGTACTGAAAATACCATATTAAGCAACTGGAACAAGGAACCTTCCTGCCATTAATACTCCTGGAGTTAGAGCTGAAATGATTGAATGCTACTCAATTCAGTGTCAAAATTATTGCAGATCAAGATGATGTAGCTGAAATATCATCCCTCAGTGGTGAGCTTTTTGAACATATTTTTTAAAACTTTCTATATCTATACATCTGAAAAAAAAAAAAATAACACCCCAAACCCCACATATTTTAAAAGCCACTGTTCTAGGAAACAAGGCAGGAATTTCCAGTACAGTTATGAGGAAAAGAATTTCACAGAAACAATATGGAAAATCCCAGTGGAGGCACGAGGCAAAAGCAATTCTGCATTAAGACTCCCACATCTTTTATGTCCTATCTGGTTCAATTTGCCTTGTTCAGTTACTCTAATTGAATTCTTTCATGAGGACAGGCTTTAGAGAACAAACTTGGAGACTTGCTGGTGTACTCAGTCAAGAGTCCAATCCTATTTAATTGAAGATAAATTAAATAGATACTCAAATATCATGCTGTTTCTTTGTCCTGCTACAAGAAGGGAGACAGAAGCACTGCTGTTTTGAAGGTTGCAGAGTTAAGAAGAGAAATGATTTGACTTTGGGGATTCCTAGAAAACATATTTGGTCAACGTCAGCAAGATGGGATTATTTTTTGGTGTCTTACACACATCTCACCCAGAGAATATGAACAACTTTCTGGACTTGTAGAGACCTCGGTCTGAAGAATTACAAAACTGTGACTGCATCAGTCATTGCATTTTGATGCCATCCCTATGAAGGATTTATTGTTAGTTGGCAAAGTAGCTGACCTAGAAATACTGTAGGTAGAAATCAGAGCATGAATAAATAAGGCTGTTTCAGTGCTTCATTTTATGACTGAACAGTGACATCTATAGTTCAAAAATTTGCAGTAATGTTTTACATATTTTCATGGTCTTAATGGGTTTAAGTGAAATGAAAATGTTCAATTCCAGTATAAAACATTTTATTCATAAACGTATCTGTTGCCTTATATAATAGCAGAATAGGTATGTTCTATTTGCTAACTGATATATTAAACCCACATAACTTTAAAGCGACTTTAAAAACAACTTTCTGTACCTAAGTTACTAGTTGTTAATCATTTGTAAGATAAAGCCTTTGAATCACTTTCTTTTAATGTCTTCTGTTTGTTTCAGCTGATTAAGTTCTGGGTTTTCAGTCTGTAACATATTCTGATACATTTATTCACTGCAGAAAAACTTAAGAAATAGTGATTTGGTAAAAAAAAGTAATCCTTTTAACACTAAATATAAAAGGAACATGGATTTATTCATCATTATTGTTGCTTACTGTTTATATTAAAGATGCATTAACTTCTATTAACATTTCATACTAAGAGGAGATTAAACAGAATGCTCCAGATGGGTCAGAGCTCTATCAGGCAATGTATGAGCAAGACCAAATTGAAAAGTATGCTTCTGAAAGCCTACATTTTTGACTGAATTTGATTTAATGATGGTGGAACACATTCCAATATTAGAAGACTGAAGTATTCAGTACAGATTCTAAGTCTAGGGATCAAAGTTAGAAATAAAAAAGACAATAAAGCAAGACAGTATTAAATGAGAATATGAATCACTGACTTTTCCTCCCGTTGGAAGCACTGCCATACACCTGCCAACTCTGAGACACTGGCAAAAGACACAGAACTTTCCCGTGACACACATGCTCAGAGCTGCAGAGCATTCACCCGGGAGGTCTCCAACACAGCAAAGCATATGTCAAAATTCATGGAGTAGGGTAGTAAAGAGCTGATACGATGGCTCAGTACACAGCATATATTGACTCAGCCAGCAGACTTGCCAGACCTTTTATGCTTCTCCAAATCTCTCAGCAGAGGCTGTAATTTTGCCCGCTACTGCACATTGTAGCCACATGGACATGGACAAAGTGCCATCGTAAAGAAAACCCTTTTGACCAGAAGTGCATCCTAGGTCTAACAAAGAGTTTTTATTACACTTTTAATTTAATATCCAGGTAATGTATCATGTATTTCTTCCCATCTGTTTAGCACAATAATAATAAACTTCCCATGTCTGAGGACAACAGAGCTGAAGAAAAGGCTAAGTGCCCTGTCCTCTCAGCAGGGGACAATAAAACCCTTTCAAGCAATTGAGGGCTTTCTCCTGTTCACAACGAAGGTACTGGAAATATTGGAAATTCATCAACATTTAAGATCATACAGTCCATCCGAGCTCCCTCCAAGAGATAGGAATATTTAATTTTGCACACTGATGCTGGAAAATATTGATTTGCATTCTCCAAGGCAGCAAATTTTGTGATGCCACCACTGTATTTCTTCAGAGAAAACCACTGGTAAAAGATAGAAAGCTCTGATAAACACAAGTACAATGCTGCTGGGGTGGGATCTCAGTGTGTGCCACAATTGCCTGTAGCAAGAGCTGCCCTAGGAGCAACAATATAGCCCTTTTAGGCTGTATCTACATTAGCAAGCCCTGCAGAGCAATGGTGGTGGGTCTGTGGATCAAACCAGTTGGTTCTGAGGACCCAGTTCCCTCAGTGTACACATTTCAGGGCTTTAGGATCACATTAGCTGCACTCCTGGTGCATGTCTTCCAGCTCAGTATCATCCAGAGGGAAGCCTGGTCCTGCCCTCCAAGACCTCATCTCTCCACAGCAGGAACCAAAGCACGCTGAGAGGGGATGATCAGAAGATTCACACCAAAGCTCATCTGTGATCTAAACCATTATGTAGACATAGCCCTTTCCTGCTTATACAGTTTGGCACCTTCTGGTTGTTTCATAAGGCTTGTCTCATGCTCCTCCACTAATCTGAGTCCTCTCTGTATAGCTGCATCTCACTTTCTCACTTTGACTCCAACAGCTTCTCTTCCTGCTTTGTTGGCATGTCCTTGTCCAGAGGAAAAGGGATTTTTCAGCCCAGACCTTACCAAAGAGCAATGTGCTGTAAGTGAGGACACTACACAGGCTTCCTGCCTATACCTATGTTTGCTTGGCACTTAATAAGCAGAGACAGTGGCAAAAGGCAGGCACGGTGCCACCAGCAGATGGGATGCCGTTGTGCAGCGAACATCTCTGTTGGTAACACTCCCAGTCTGAGCATCTGAATGTCTGTCTCTCCTCAGGTTCACTTGGCTTTATTAAAGAGGATGCTCCGAACTGCTGCCAATTCTTTTTTTGAACATGTGTATGCTCCTGTTTCTATCTATCACATGGAAAAAGATCTGGCTTTTATCTATTACGTGCTTTGCCTTTTTCATTTGATCTTCCCATGTAGTTTCTTTCCCCGCTGTGCAGCTAGACCTGACAAATTCAATGTCCTGAAACAGGCTTGCCCTTGGCCCTGCTCACATAGCATTTCATGGCAAGTTAAACAGTGAGAAGAACTGAAGGTGAAGAGAACCTCTCCCAGTATATGTATTTGGGTATGTTTATAGACATACCAGGCCATCTTCAAGAATTGTGTGTTCTTCAGCCATACATATTCCTGCCACTTCAGATTTAACTTATCTGTCTTCAAACAGATGATTGCCTCTTGCCACTCGTTGGTATGAAAATGAACCTCAGTCTTTGTTAAACTGGTGCTTTCTATGAAAGGATTGGCATGTATGTGCTTTGAAAGTGTGAATTTAAATCCAGATGTCTAAAAGCATAGCTATAAAAAAGATTAAAACCCCCAAAATTTCTAAAAAGCTTTTAAAAATTAACTGATGTGCATTTGGTATGCTCACATTACAGCATGCTGGTTTGTTTGTGTGTGTGAAAAAGCAAGATCAAGAACATAAGTAAGACCAGGTCAGTTCATGATCATGGTATATTAATACACTCATTTTTCCCTGGTGTCATTCTTATGAACTAACTAATCCTGAAAACCACCTGTGTGTTAATGTTTCCAACATGCTTCAGAACATGTATTAAAACCACCACTTAAGTGCCAGGTTGCATTTTCCCCTCCCTTTGGATTTTAACTCTGTTCATAAAAAAAAAAGGAAAAATGAAAAAGTGAGGAGAGGGGAAAGCGATGACTTTCTGTCCTCACACTCTGCCCACAGTCCTTGACTCAGTAGATATTTCTGCACAAATGCTTCATGTTCAAATAAAATTGCCTACTCATATAAGCCATTTACTTCAATCAAAGCCAGATGTATATAGGACTGATCAAACTAAAAGGAAGTAACTATACTTATAATTGCAGGCTTTACTAGCATGAGGTTTCTCTCTGTGGTTGAAAACCTTGGCACAGTGTTTGCATTTGATTGCAGTAAAGCTTTCTATTGCTCTGATTGCTCATGTTGCTATTCATGCAGATAAACATACATTTACTATTGGCAGACCTGGTAACACCACTACATTATTAAGGCTGTGTGACATTTCCCATTTTAAGACATCATATTCAGCAGCTTATAGTTTAACCACACTTTAAACACTTGGTTGAATTTTCTTGGGAAATTTCAGTCCAAAGAACCAAGTTGTTTCTGAAAGTCATGCTGTTTGTCAGGTTTCAAAATGCAAACAACTTTCTTTAAAAATAGCTTTACTGACCTGTACCTATGGGTAGGGACGGAAAACTCTGGAAGAATGTGGCCTATATTTCAGGGCTGTGGTTTCCAGTGTCTCCCAAGAAAATTGTCCTGAAGCTGTATATAACTCTGCTAGGAGTCTCCTGAGCTAGTGAGTGCTTGTCTCCCTTTCCCAGCCCTTTTTACATATGCATGGGAACTCCCTGTGGCGTCCCTGGACACTCAGTACCTTCTCTGTAACCTCCAACAATGCTGGGCATACCCTGCTGCTGTGGGACTTGATTTGGACCCCTGTGAACACACGAGTGTGAGCAGAGGTTCCTGTCATTAGCCCAGAAACCAGATTTTGAAAGCAGAGAGGTTTTTCTGTAATCTCTGTGATGTCTCAGAGCATCTGAGCTATCCACGCTTTCTCCTGCAGACTACAATCCCCATTTTGGGCCCCTGTTTGATTTGCAGAGAGGTCAGACAGAAAGTGCCAGCATGGGTGAACTAGCCCTGTGCCAACTCTCCTTTTGGGGCAATGCTTTTTGCATACCTGTGCATTTACCCATACAAACCCTAACGGCAGCAGCGTGGGCACACTCCTAGTGCATACAAAGCATCGCTCTAGCAATTCCCCAAACAGGGCCATAATACTACCCCATTCCCATAACTGCAGGATGAAGTGGAAGGTAATCAGAGGCAGCTTTTTATTAATGGTGAACACGGCAGTAGGCATTTCTATTGAAAGGAAGATCTCACAACAGGAACACTATTATGGAGGTTTGTGTTTTAGATAATCAATTTATGCAAATTATATGTAAATTAGGCACAGCCCCTTTGTTTTCTGGCATGTAGCCAGCAACAATTTTCATGTTATAATGTTGGGTAACCTTTGCTTGACTGTTTTCCTTTAAAGTTAGCTATAAATAGGAGTTTTCTTTTTCTCTCTCTTAATTTTCTTGTAAAAGCACAGTAGCGTTTTTGTAAGAAATAGCATGTTACCAGTATATGAAATCTGCTCAGTAAAATTCAAATAAGACAATTTATTTATTAAAAAAAAATCCTATCATTATGCCAAATACTTTCTGTTTAGGAAAAGGACCATTATTCTTGAGAAACTTTAACAGGAGGATACTATCATTGAAAATATTAGTCAAGTGATCCTGATGCCACCGAATACCCTGGGATTGGCAAAATGACCTTTGCACGGTATATATTTGAATGTTTCCCCCCGCCAAAAAACAAAAAAGCTGCCATTTTTTCTTAAGATATAAAATGAAGAGTTACTACTTTTTTTTTTCTATTTTAAATTAAAGTCAGCTGCTAACATCTGTCAGTGAGTACAATGGCTGATCATTCTTAAATGCATGCTGCAATTTGTGGCTCTGCAACTAGCATTTGCAATGCTGCTGGGATCTCTGCTCTATGGAATTTAATTATGTGGCCTTTTTGCATATGGAGGACACTAACAACGGAATCGCTCTGCCTGACAGAAACAGAAATGCCCATGCCTTCTCCTTGTGGGCTGGGCTGCAGAACCACTGACGTACAGTCAGGGTCCATTGCGCTGGAATTATGGCTTTATAACAATCCTTTATTTACATACACTGCTGAGGCAGTAAAAACAGCAAACAGATTTTTTAACGGCAGGCAGCCAAAACATCCCTGCAGGGCATGTGCCCCCTCACCGAGGCAGGAACGCAGGCAAGTTAAATCAGTTCCATGACTGCTTTCCAGCAGCGAATTATGTAGACATGAAAATGGTGTGTGCCATTCCAGTAATAAAATGGGTCCAATCTTCAGCGCCGCCTGTTTCTCCCCCACCCTACATCTCCCCTCAGTTAGAATTGGCATGCACATGGCACTGGGAAAAAAAGAATTACTGCAAGGCGTTTCATTAGAAAGGTTTCAATTTACTCATCGTGGGATTGCTGAGCAATACTGTAAATGGACTCAAATAAAATCAATAGAAGGAGTTGTTCTTGTGCTTCCTAGGACACTAGGTGATTGGTTAACCTCTTTTATTAAGCAAAGAGTCTGAATCAATGCCGTGTTACGTTCATGTACATATTGCAGCTGTATTTCCTAGGGATTTAAATAATCTTGCTTAGCAGTTCTCTCAGCGGCTTCAGCATTCTTCTGCCTCAGAATGATTTTCTTCTGCCCTTGTTGTGCAACACTCCTTTCCTTTTCTTTCCTTCCCTTGGTAAATGAAGACCCTTAACGACAGACACAAGCAGCGACGTTTGTCTTCATCTGCACATCATGGCCTGGCTTGCCAGTGTTGTGCTTCATTCCACCCATCTCCTTCCACCAACAGCAAAGCAGACAGCATCCCTGACGCACCATTTGCCCTGGCATGGGAGAAGCAGTGGCTGATCAAAGCCAAGGATCCAGAGGAGATGGTAGCTGAGATAGCTCAGCATCAGAAAATTCACATTCCAGGGCTTACCCTATAAGGGCAGGGTTATCTAAATGAGAAACTTCTGTCTGACAGTCAGTTTTGCTCAGATCTTACCAGATTTCAGCCTTGAAAACTAAACTGTTCTCAAGTTTAGGAAGTTCCTAAAGTTTAGAAAAATCTATGTGGGGAAGGGGGTCAGAAGGGAAATACAAGAACAAGGCTTAAACCAATGAAAAACAGAAATAATATCTATGGCTGCAAGAGAACTGCATAGACACATTAAAGCAGAAAGCCCTGGGAGAGTGGTTGAATGCTCCATAGAAAAAGTTTAGTGGGAACTTCCTTAGGGAACCATGAACAAAATCACTGACAATAAGTGGATGGAAAGCTCTGAACTTGCAGAAGACCTCTGTTGAGTATCCTCCTTTTCAGAGAAAGTTTTAGTCTGTCAGAAAAGGTGAGCAATGCTGCCTGCTAATAGAATATGGAGAACTGGAAGGGAAATCTGTACACTGCAGAGAAAGAACAGCCCTAGAGGAAATGTCCTACACGTATGTAATTTGTTTTTTTCCTGCTGAGATGCTGACTGTTCTTATGGTCTGGTAAATTGTGCACTGCATTACTGGGTAGTACATCACTGGCACCAAATCACACAAGCCACCATATAACCACTAGATAGGAAACTCCAGCACGAGAATAGTTTAAATCAATGCCCTGTAAACTCTGGATAACATTATTTAGCCCTTGAAGCAGTGAGGCCTCTGAGGAAGCTGTAAAATACACTTCTGGGTGGGGTTTAGAATGCCACGGACTCACTGTTTTCCATGCAGACATGTAATCGAATTACTTACAAAAGGACCAAGGTGTTTGTGGACAGCTCAGTAATTATTTGTGACAGCTTCAGAAACAGAGAAAGACAACAGAGCCGTTGCATCTATGATGGACATTGGAAATCACCATCTTTGTGTACAGCCTTCGATGCTGTAAACGGATTCTGAAAAATCCAGCTGAGTATTACAGTAATTGTAATTCTGTTGGTTTCTATAGAAATAGGATTATCCTAACAGCCAATAAATCAATTTCCTCCTGTAACAGTAATGCAATGAGAAGGGGCACCATTTCACCATTATTTATAGAGCAAACAGCTTTTACACAATTTGCAATACCTATCAGAGTTTTATAGAGTTCATGAGGTTTTTCAAGCATGTTGCTGCATAAAACCATCTCTGGCAATAAATTATAGAGGAAAATGGGGAGGGGGAACCCATAAAGTAATGCAAAACATTTACCACCAGATGGCACGCTGGTACAGGTGCCGCCGTTCTGGCAGGGATGCCTCTCACAGGCATCGGGGTAGAGGACGCAGCCAAGCTTTAATTCGGTCAGGCCAACCACTTCTGCAAAGCTGCTGCGCTTGTTTTGGAGCGGCAGTTCGTTGTTATTGAGGACAACTGAATCCAGGCAGCCCTGAAAGCCGCTCAAGACCTGCGTGGTTCTCTTGTCGGTCAGGCTGCGGACGTTATCCACTTGGACCTGGGCGCCAAAGTAGACGGAGCTATCTGTGCTGAGACTCTGGAAATAGAGGGGGGCTTTGCGGCGCTCGACGTAGCTGTCATCCAGGGACAAGCTTGTGAAATTGCGATTCAGCTCCAGGAAGACCGAATGCCAGCTTCCATCATTAACGGCCCTGCCAGAAATTCCCAGGATTCCCGGGCCGCTGCCGCAGTCCAGCTGGAACCACAGTTTGCCATCGACAATCTGTGGGGGGAAAACAGAAATCAAAGCACTTCAGGTTCAGGAACTCAGCTGCCTCATAATACGCTCTCATGGGGAATCTGGAAACACAGAGGACTTCTAGACAGTCTTTATACAGTCTTAAATCTGCTCTCCTACATGACGCTAAAATAGCAAAAAGCTGCGCCTTTGTCATCAGCAAAAACTGTAAGGCGAGATATATCAGCCTACTTAGAACTTACCCAAAGTTACTGTAGGCAAACTGAAAATACAGAAGAAAATATAGATGCAGAATACAGGCGAGGACTGGGATAACAGTATGCCTCACTGAGCACAGCATGGGCTGGAGGACTCATGTTCTGCTCGTGGCTCTCCTGCTTAGCAGTTGTGTCTCTCTGAGCAAGCCCTGCCATGTACCTCTGCTTCTGGTGGTTGATGCTCACGAATGGACAGTCCCTTGGGGCAAGGGTCCAACTCTGTTTGAGAGAGGATTGTGGTAAAGTCAGTGGCCACTGCTTTCAGTGGGGGGATGTTAGGTGCCCTGCTCATGCACACATCCTGTGCCTCTGTAACCTTTTGGAGCACCTCAGGAAGGTGTGGATTTGTCTCTAAGTGTCATAAATTCAGTTCCTCTGAGGACAATAATAGAGATCCTGGTTGACCAAAAGGTTATTTTCCAAGGATGCTTTACTGCGTGTTCTGCATATACCTCATAGATGATACAGTATGGCTCTTACTTTTCTTCCTTTCCTGGTATTTATGCTGGGTTCACGACTTTAGAGAGGCTGTTAGGATTTCTCACTCTCCCTCCTACCTCTCACCCATCTGAAGCCCTCATAAAGGGAAAATCTGTGCCACCCTGATGGAACAGGCAAAATGTAGAGTAAGGGAATAGGTATGAAGTGTTGCTTTTCTGATTAGCAGTTTACCCAAAGATTTTAGGTTTCTTTAACAGATGGCAAATAAGTTTAAAATGGCTGACAAGGCTGGAAATAATTTCTTATGACACATTAATTGGATTCAAGCTCTCTGAAAACTCTTGCAATTATTTTATCTTTATGTCATGCTCTAGGAAGTATTTATTTCTGCAAACCTCATCCCAAGACAGTTCTGTCCCATTATTTATTCCCCTGAAAAGTTCAGGCGCTGTGTCCTTTTTCATCCTTCCCTGCAGCACACATTATACTCTCACTGGTTTATCATAACACAACCCTAACTGCTCTCCTCCAGCAGACTAGAGTTGCCGTAGCTGTCAATGCAAGAACCCCCCAGAGCTTTGGTGGCCTGCTAAACTGGCATGGCTAATGCAGATGTGAGGATGATGCATCGTGTCCACCTGTCTTTGGCCATTTCTGGCTGTTTCTGGCATGAATAGTCATTTAAAACTGTGTTAGCTAGAGACACCCCTTGGCATGTGTCTGAACTGGTGCTCAAAGTCTTCTCTGTCAGGCTCTCTCATGTGGCTTGAAGGTAAATGGGATACTGTTAATCTACAGGAGCAGATTGTGCTGTCACGTCATTATTGGCATTTTACTGTCCTTGGAGGTTCACAAAACTACCTGGAGAAAATCTAAGGGCAAAATCTTGAGTTCTGATGCTCTTTGGACTTCCTTCTCCTTTGCAGACCTCAGTTTCTTGACCAGCTGAATTTTAACTGGGCTGTAACTTCAAGACAAGTCACACTGGGCAGTTGGGGTGTAAACCTCACCACTCCACTGCTCTGTGATTGCTTGGATGGGATAGACACCGAGATGTTAAGCACATGACAATCTCCCTATAAGTGATAGTTACCTACTTACTCTGCATGGCATGAGGGGTGTTACAGTGTTACATATGTAAAAGGAGCCAGAAGAGCAAGAATTAGCCCCTGATATTGGCACCTAGTTATTTTGAAGTCCATGACCTGTAGGATATAATGAGACTCAGAAGAAACGAGATCTATGACTGTAATATAACACACTTGAGGGATGGACATTGCTTGGTACTCCTACAGCTCAATCATAAAAAGGCAAATGACTGTATAGAAAAAATAAGTCTGGATCATTTTTCATTAAAAAATCTTTTCTTACAGGACTCAAAACTCAGCTGTAAACTATTTCTGTAGATTGAAATTGGGCCTATTAAAGCATCTGCTCAGGAGGAATCTCGGTAAATAAGATGCCCTGATAAACCGAGCTGGTTTCTCTCCAGAGACAGAGCAATAGTTTCTTTTCTCCCCGTGCAACAAAATAGTTCACAAATCTCGAAGGCGCTGCTCAGAAAGTGTGGTCTAGCTCAACAGGAATACAAATCAAACAGAAAAATACATGCCAACATATTACACTTTGAAAAACAGCCATCACCAGATAAGCAGTTAACTTGCTTCTTATTCAAAAGGCTTTTTCCTATGGAAACTCTTCTACTGATTGTGTATAATACACATATGCCTCCCCTAAGACTACTTATACCCTGAAGGACCTACTGCCTGCATGTCTATTACCCTTACTCACAGAACATGCTTTTCCAATTATCTTTATAAATACAGCACTACATATGAGCACCTGGGATAAATATTACACCATTTGTATACGGGAAATGATGATCTAAAAGATTTGCCATTAAAATATGTTTTATACATCCTTCTCATCCACTTTTATTTCTTTTTACCAGCAGATGATCTGACATACACAGTAAATATATATTGTCTGAAAGGCTATGTTTCCTTCTTTTTATTAAAAAAGCACTAGTAACCTCCACCTTAGGCTAGAGTGAAAGATGGAAAGGATGGTTTGATGCTTACAATACTAGCCTAAGATATGATAGATATGCATGGGAATCCACACTCTGCAACACTCTTCCTATGGGATCTCAAGCAAGTCATTAGTTTCAGGTATCCATCAGTAAAAGAAGGATAATGTAATTTCCCTACCTCACACCACTGTTTTATGGATATATACATTAATGACTGTGACATGCCCAGATAGCCCTACCAATGGGACCATAAAAATACTTTCATTCATCAGATGGTCACAGGCCTTGCCGTAGTGGGGTAGGGAGGATATATTTGTCCCCTGCTGGTCCCGTGCCTCTAGAAGGAAGAGGAAGAGCAGGAACAGCCCTTGAGGTGTGGGGGGTGCAAGGGGCTCCTGTCCTGCCTACTGAGCAGCTAGGCTGGCTGGTCAGGGAGGAGAAGGGTCCTCCACTCAACAGGACAAAATGATGAATCCACTCCCAAATATGGAGAACTCAACCATGGATCTTTGATTCAGCAATTCATCCCTGGTGTTCCTGTGAATCCTCGTATCTGCTGTGATGTCAGAGAAACTGTTCAGTCCTCAAAGGGAGCTCTTTGATTGTAGCCTGGATCTTGGTATCAAGAAAAGCTGAACTTCAAGTTAGATTTCTTACTAAATGAGGTACATTCAAGCAAATAGTATAGAAATCCAGTGAATGGCCAATGTTGTTGTCCAGGCTCAGCAGTTATGCAGACAATAACCTCAGTGGGATGACCGGTCTGGTTGAGGGCTGGTAGGATCAGACTCTCTGTTCAGGACTGAATGCATGGCATTGCTTTTTTCTCCATCTATGTGATGTAACACAGTAGAGCTTCAGTTACTCCATCTCACAGCAGAGAGATGCAAACTCTGCAACCCCTCACTAAAGCAGCCTCTGATGCCAGCAGAGATCCTCTGCAGCAAGACGAAAGCAGAGAGACACTGCTTCATCTTATCTGGGCAGACAAATCCCACCAAGCTTCCACCTCTCAGAGCTTTCTGGGCTTAGTTACAGTACCTCTCATTAGAACTACTAGAACAATGAGGTTAATGCATGTATGCTCTTACAGACACAAAATTTCTCACCTGTAGAGAAGTACAAAGAACAGAGAAGGCTCCAAAAGTTGATGCAATTGGTTACATTTCAACAGTTTCACTCAGTGAGCAAAATGGAGCCAAACACATATTGTAAATTATATTAGAATATTAGCCTGGCTAAGATGTTTGGCTAACATCCATATTTGTGTATCAACATAGGTAATAAAATGATCAAATGGTTCTTCTGAGACCACCTTAGGCTCACACAGTCCATCTGCAGTCACACACCACCATACAGCATGCTGCCTAGTAATCTATCTGGGGAAATATTTTGTTAGCCGAATTACATTTCAGGTTCGTTTGTGTAAAACGGTATATTTAATTAAAATATTACTCGTTTCAACTCCAGCCATAACTGGGATCATATCCAAACTTCAGACTTATCCAGCATAAGCCATGTAGCAGTAAATTATAATATATACTTAACTAAACCATGTAAAGTTTCACATTAACTGCCTGGACAGAAGAACATATGCTTCCCTTTTACCATTTAGCAGCTATATTTCTGGCATGATGAGAAAGTCTTTATTTACCTATTTTTAATCCCTTAAATTTCACAAAACAAGCTGAATCTCCGTCATACTCCTTGAAAAAAATTAAACAAATTATGGAATTCTCTTCTACAATGGCCTTGTAGTGCTTTAAATAGTTAAATCTTACTTTTCCCAGAAAGATGCTACATATGAAAAAGGAAACGGCGATACTGGTTTTGGCATACATAATCTTTTCAAAGGGAAAAAAAACCCCAAACGATTGACCTGCATCTCATTTTGCTCCAATTGTCTTAAAAGCAAGAGCACACAACAAAAAAAATGGCCAGCCTCTCAAAATCGATGGATGAGTTGCTTTATTTGAAAGAGCTGAATAAATAACACCCTTATTATATTGTATCAACACAATGCTGCTGGTAGGCTTTCAGCAAAGTAGTAGGCAAGCAGTTTGCTCTATGAAATTGATTATTCATCCAAGAAGGACACTGTGTTATGATTATGAAATATTTCCATCCCTAGAGTTATCACAAATGTATGAGCTCTCAAAATTAAGCTGGTCATTTAAACACTGAAATACATATTGCAGCATTAATTTTTAAATAGCCTGCAATGGGAAAGACTTGCTTCAAAAAAATCAATGCCACTATATGCCCCAACAGTGGTAGTGGTTTCTGCTTGTTCTCTCTTGGGCTCATACGATGTGGTGGGTCTAAATTTCTTCCACCTCTGCCTTTGTTTGGATCTCAGTGTTGGTGCTGGGCCCTCTGGTGCTAATCCGGCAGATACTTAAGTATATGCTTAAAATTAAGGTATGTGAGTAGTTCCAATTGCCTTCAAATACAGGAAGTTAAGCAAGTGATTAAGTGCTTTGCTGGAGTGATGCCAGAGTGCTCAAAAGAGCACAGGATCCCATTCTTTATCCTCTATTTGGAAAGCTTCTCCTCATGTTTAATTTAATTGAAAGAAATGCTCCAATGATAACAACTTCACATTTATAGACCTCTAATTAATCTACTTAATGGCCTCATTTCTGAGCACCTCCCTATCTCACAACATATGTACCTGGTTTAAAAAAAAAAAAAAAAAAAGCCTTACCTCTGGTTTACAAATGAAAAAACATATGCTTAGAAAGTCTAAGTGTAACTTGCTTCAAAACATCTGAGTTAGGGATCCCCAAAGTACAGTTCATGAGCTTGCTGCCATCCCTGAAGAGACCTGCTATGGCTACATCCCTTTAGCATAATGCCATTTGTGTGTCACAGAGAGCTTTTGTGAGACCTTAGTTTGATGTTCCTCTGCTAAATGACCTTCACAAACAAAACTGTAGCATTTCCTCATCTTTTAAGTGATGCTATTTCTACAAAAAACATGATAAATATAATGATTTACTTTTCTTTAAATTCTATGCTTACAAAAGCCAAGGGCCAGACCTGGAAAATGCTGTACCCACAACAGCAATTCCTGCCCTACCTAAAAGACAAGAATGAGGCTCTGGGAGGGGAAATTCCCTGTGTCCTTCCCTGCTTAATTCATGGGAGAAAGTGGAGCCTTTGCAGGGCCCACGACCCTGGACCTCATTCATTGGACACACGAGGTGGCAGCTGCATCTGTAGCTCTCTACCAAGTGCCGCATGCGATGGGTTCAGAGCTGGAAAACCTTTCTCAGAGCTAGGAAGCAAAACAGAGCATGACCTGGAGGCTAGCCTCTCAGATCAGAGCAGAGTAGCCATAGCCCTTGTTGCTGCTCCTTCAGGTAGAATTTTTAGCTCCCAGGATCTTTCAAAGCAAAACAGCTAGATGATTGCGTGCAGTGGTGAATGAAAACATGTAATTTCTGCCCCACAACTAAAAACTCAACTCAGATGACTGCAATGAGGGTCTCTCTTACTTTTTTTTTTGTAGTCACATGAATTTTTCTCTTCTGGTGGCAAAGTTCCCAGCTTCAACTGGAGATTTCTACTCAGTTGCCTATGACCTGACTTGCTGTACTCCTTAATCACGATAGTTTTATACACTAAACTCTAACAAAATAAATTCCTCTATCATCACTCTAACTCCATTTCAGTCTACTTCTGTATCATTGCTGACTGTTTTCAAGTGTTACCTTCCACCAGGGCCATTTGTTTTTTTCCAAGCATTTTTCAAAACTACAGAATTGCAAACATTCCCTACTGATACATGCTAAGAGCAACCATGATGAAGACTTCAAAGAAGGTCTTCAAGCCTGCAGTTTTGTTTTGGGGTTTTTTTGAACAAAAAAGTATACTGAAAATTTAAAACTGTGCATTCCTATGTGTGTTAAAGAAGAGCTTAATTGTCTTGTACAAATCTGAAAACACTGAGAGTCCCCAGTGAATGACAGACAGTACTCCAGTTCATGAAATTTCAGTCTAACAGCTATAAAATTATTTGTTGTCCATTAATAACTCATACAGCCATTTTAACATTACATAAGCATTCAGCCAGAAGAACTGTAGATTGCAAATACAGACGCAAAAGGCTCTATGCCATTTCTCCCACTGCTGAATTATAGGACATGGCTGAGTTACAAAAGTCAATGTCTTCATTTAGTACCTTAGAGGCTCTAGCAGAAATACTATACGTGCAGGCTCTTGGGTGAGCCTAGCACTCCCTTTCCACCCAGCAGATATTTGCCATTCCATAGAAACCCAACAAAGAACAACAATGCATGGAGAGCTTATCAATTAAATACTGATTTGATATCAGTCTCCAGCTACCCCATGCCTCTCAACAAATCATCTTAATTCACAGAGTGTAGAAATCTTCACATTCAGTAGGAGACATTAGAACATGTCTCCTACATGTTGGTTTCTGGAATTAACTCGACAGCGATGGGGGCATATCCTCTAACCACAGTCATGGACACAGGCAAAGAACAGCTACTTCAGCATGCATCGTTTTGACTATATGGTCATATAAATGGCCAAATCTTACATCTTGTGTAGATTGGCTCCTGCATGCAGACACACATAATGTTCTTATAATGAACAGCACCCAATGGAGTATTTTCCAAGCGAAGTACCACTAACAAGCTGCCTTTTTGATTGTTGCTGTTGCTGCCATTGTCACTATTGTTGGTTTTCCCTGTTACCATAAAACCAATCAGATTTCATCTTCTCAATCTACTGCTGAAATTAGAACAGCATCCCCCAAATCAAGAGCCAACAGAAAACATATGATCAAGAAAAAGAACTGTGGAAAAGTTATTTCAATTACCTTCAGAATTATACAGGGATTCGCTCTGGTGTACATTATAATCCCATTGCTTTGCAAGGTTCGCAGACGGAGAGCCAACTTGAATTCCTCTTTCTTGCTATTTTCAGAAACCCGGTATTTAATGTAGCTATTCCCAGCAAAGCTAAGGGAAGTGTGGCCTGAAATAACCATTTTGAGAAGACACATTTTCTGTTAGTGACACATGAAATAATTCCTCAATTGTCAAGTTAATTAAAGAATTTATAGAGCTAATGTGAATGTCTAGGAAGAAATAAATAAAACCCAACTTTGACAGGAAAAAAAGCTGGCACCTACTATAAAAACATATTGTATTTTTTTCAAAATTATTTTTCAGGAGATGGAGAAAAGTTCTATGTCTCCATACTTGTAAAAAAGAAAGGCTTCTCCAAGTATTCAGCATTTTTAAGGTTATACACCCCTGGAGGCACCTGTTTCATATCACTGGTAACAGGGGAGTCAAAGATAACCATGCCTGTACATCAGGTAGTTGAGTTATGGGTATAAAGTTAGGTGTGGACAGATGCCAGCCAAACCCTTGCAACGAGTTTTCTGCAACCACTGGCCAGGACCACAGCGATACAGCTCAGTGTCTGCTCTGTTTTCATCAGGGAAACAGCACACATCCTCTGTCACACGGCTCTGGATTCACTGAAGTCAACAGAAAGCTCCAGTTCACCAGCTTTCCACTTGGCTCTTTACATCCCAGGGAACAACACAGCTGCAGAGAACTAACAAATGTCCTCAAACTTTCTTTTTGGGATGGTGTAGTGTTTTCATTAATAAAGACTGGAATTTCAGTAATCTAAATAGTAAGCAGAAGAGTTAATTACAGAGCTTTGCCCATGGCAAGAAAACATCTGGCATAACAGTCTCTAGGAAATGTCCTGTTTTCTCAGCAGCCTGTTTTACTGATCTGGGACTCAACCAAGTCAGTGGGAATTCCCCAGCGGAAACTGAATCATGGTCTTCATACAGCCCCATGGCTACAAAGCCAAGTATTTTACAAGGCTGATAAACAGACACACTGAGTGCCAGTGTCGAGAAGGATTATGAAGTACACCTTCTGTTGACTTCAGTGGCACCTCTTCCTACAAAATGAAAATGGCAGCACTTTGTTGTTCGAGTATATCCCCCTTTACCACTGTGACATGAACCTGAACATTCGCCAAGCTTTCCTGGTGGGCACTGGCAGATGAATGGTCTCCGGTTAGCTTCATACCCCACACACTGCATGTCCCCTGGACACGGCTTCTCCAGACAGGGGTCGTTAGACCCTGGGCAGAGTCCTCCTGCAATAAGTTAAAATACTGTCAGGGATACACAGTGTAAAGCATGATCGGCAGCAACACAAGAGTAATGAAAGACAATTATTGATCTCACACTTCAGTACATGCAAAGAACGGCTTAATAATAATAACAAAAAAAAAAAATAAAACCTTCACAGAATAGACGTCCTTTGAACAAGTACATAGCAAAACCGTTATGGTTATTCTTCAAAGGCTGCCCTAAAACCCATGGCAATGTATTATAAAAAACAACTGTTATGAGCAGTAACTGGTTTATAATTGGTGTTGTGACTCTCAGGCCATTCATTTTCTCACAATGCCTCATACACAGGGGATTTAGAGAGGACTTGAAGCTACACACTCCTTTTGCCTGAGCACACCCATGAGAAGCAAATTTAAGGAGGTAGCATTCCCTAGGATCAAAAATAAGAAAAAGCCATTCCTGGGCTACAGTGACAGCTGGACTTCTGATCCTCATACTGCACAGGACACACTGCCAGTCTGATCATACAGCACAGGCAAATTTGCCCTGTCCCCATGTGCCTCCTGTTCACCTTGCCCAGGCTGCCAAAACCTATACTCCTTTCTTCTGGTTGTGACTACACAAGTCCTGTTGCATCTGTAACTGCATATGTTCAGGAAAAAAAAAAAAAAAAAAAAAAAAGTGCATCACTTGCTTTGGACACTAAGATCTCAATGCGAAGAAATTCTGAAAATCAAAAACGAGTTGACTGTATTTCTTGATGCTACCTAATTAAAGAAAGAAGAAGTTTAATATTCAAAATAGCCAGCTGCAATTTATAATTATAAATTGGGCAAAACATCCATGTCCTTTTGTATTTGAGGAAGAACATAATTTGGATAAAATTATTTTGAATTCGAGTATCAACTCTTTCCTAAAAATCTTCTATTAGCATGAAATCTAATCTTGACCAAGAGTAGGTGAATCCATAACTACTACTAACTTCATAAGGGAAGCAATCTGAAGGGATAGATGACTACTGAGTTTTGAATTTGCTTAAAATACTTGTGCAACATAAGTACATTAAGGTTCTTCAAAACCTCCTAAATTCTTAACATGTATCAAGCAGAGCATGTCAAAGGCTTACTTTAAAGCCTGTCAATGTCAAAGGAACTTCTTGCATTCCATGAGGTTTGGATAAAACTTCTACATAACTTCCAAAAGTGTCTAAATAAATCTGTTTTGATTGCCCTAATCTTAAAAGACTTGCGAACATTGTCTACAATAATGCAAAACATGATACAACTATTGTTGCTTAATATATGAATTCTCAGGAATATACATCTTCCACAACAGTTAGCCTTTTCTTGGTTGCAATAAGGAACTTGGTAGATGCAGGGCCAGCTTCTGCCTTTGGACATCTGTGTGTGGCTGCTACGAAAGTAGCCTTTAAGTACAGGAAAAAGGCATTCCCGCCCTTGCTTCTGTTGATTTGCAGCCAGAGCTTTAACATAATGCTAGCCAGTTGCTGTGAATGGACAGGTGTCTCTTGTTTTGCTTATCAAATTAATTTACTTAATACATGCAGGTGATAATCTTAACAATAAAAAGTCAGCACCTTTCTACCCATCACTTTCTGAATATTGCCAGTTCTTGTTTATTGCAAGACCCTTATATTAAAAAACTGCTTTATTTTTTGAGCATATGTATTTTATTTACAATTTATAAAGGAAGAAATCAACCTGTCATAGAGTATATCTCCAAAAGTAATGAAAGACAGAATCTTACTCTTCTCACACTTCAGTACAAGCCAAGCAGGGCTCATAGTGAGCATAGCTGAAATTACCTGGCACTGTAAGTATTTTCTGGAAAAAATAAAAATTACTACTGTAGGTTTCAAAGTGGACATGGGCAGACTACAAATATGGCAATGACTGTAAGTGTCTTGCTTGATGTAGAGCACAGTCAATTTAATCTTTAACATCCTCCCCTCCTTTGTCAAACATTTGTTTGAGAGGTCTATGCAGTAAAAGATTTACAGTACTGCCTATAGCACTGTTAGAAAATGATGCATGGCAATCTTTATTAATCACTTTAGTAGGTAACATTAACAGGAATAACAGCTACAATATACAGTCACACTTTAAGTCTTACAGAATGAAGAAACAAATGTCATTTAATAGGGTTCTGCACCGCAGAACTATGCTTTATTTAAATGTAAAGTCTGTAGAATTTAACAGAAAATATGATGTTTTCGTATATATATTTTTTTAGAACCTCCCCCTGCCCCCATTCTTTGGAATTCAATGGTAAGTAACAATTGTTCCTGAAATTGTAACAGGTGGTTAAATATTCTATAGGCTGCCTTGTATTTTCTACTTGGTTCTTTTAGCTATTTTAATTCATTCTTATGTGACAAATACACAGCATTCTGCTGTATGCAGAGAGTATCTCTTCTCTGAACACACTTAAACCTTTTGTGAGGCTGTAATTCAAGCAAGCGTCTGCGTAGCTGACAGACAAGTCATTTGGACAAAAGCCCCACAGCTTGTCAGTGTGCAGCAGAAAGGGGCACTGAGACTTCCAAACGTGGCTCTGCAAATTTTCACATCCCCTAACCTATGACTGTATCTCTGACATGAAGCAATAAAGCAATAGCTTACTTTGTTATCCATCTCTGCCAGGTTTTTTTAGCTGATTCAAACTCTGATTTGTACTTCAGAGTAATCCTTATGCTGTCAAAAAATATATGGAAAGGATCTAATGTATTTAGTGCAACTGTGGAGACACACTAAAGAACTGCTTATCCTGGCAGGCCAAGAATAGTTCTTCTGGTAAACTACAAGAAAATCAACTTTTTATTCATCCTGCTGCAGCAGGATTACATAGTTATCACAAAATTTTTAAAATATTCAGACTTGGGAGAAGAAATGCTTTATGCCTGCCTAAATGGTTATAAGTACATACGCTACAAATCTGCATTATTGCATTGCCCTAGCTAACACGCATTTTCAGGCTGATTTCACAACTATGCGGAGCAAAATTGTGAAACTGTTCAAGGTTACATTGTCCACATTAAAGATTTACAGCCTGACTTTAAATAAAATTATTCTAATATTGCACTTCCACTCCAAAGAGCAGTCTGTTTACCATCCAGTAAGAGATTCAAGAAATACAGATTTGAATTGATCTTTTTTTTTCTGTAGGCAAGTCCAGACAATCCACAGCATTCTCTTGAAACTCATATTAGTATTAATAAAGCTGTTCTCTACAAGGTATCACAGAGACACATGAGCTAGCATCAACCAGTGCATGGCAGGAAAAGGTGGAATAGACCCACTTGATTTTGACAGATCATCTTCAGTTTAATTCTCTAAAAGAAGGTAAATGTATTACAATCTCCCCACTACTGTATGGAGGGAAAAAACCACTCTTCCGTTGCAAAATGAGACATTTATTTAATTTCTGTCCCTCCAAAGAAGGACCACTTCCAGGAATCTAAATATATTTTGAAAATTGAGTGCTTCAACAATTTTAACTTGAGCCTTGTGATATTTGGTGTTTTTCTGTAAGCACATCCTCCTGAATTTGTATGAATATTAAAAAAAAAAAAAAGAGTCCGTTTCTCTCACTTGCAGAAGAAAGCTTGAAAGGTGACTCTTGAAGGCCAGAGTCACAGAAAGCATGTAAAGCAAACTCCAAACTGTTACTTTTAAACAATCTAATAATTAGTTTAGTGGGGAGGGAAGACTGTCAACTCATGAGCTTAAATTTGTTTCTGTTTTTGGAGCATGGTAGTCAGGTATTATACGCAACGATTACTGTAGACATATCAGTGCAGATGCCACAAACTTGTTTCTGCAGAAGTCAGACATGGGTTTCAGTTATCTCAAGTGCTCCTGGAAAACTCTGTGTCACAGTATGTCCTAGTGAATCAGATTCTCTCCAGTTTTAGAAGAACTGAGACACTTGACCTCTTCCATCTACTCCTTGATCACAGCTTACCTTAAGACCCCTTAAGCGATAGACAGCAATTCCTACTTGCCCCAATTCTACTGCCATGCCCCAACTTCATGCTTCAGCTCTCCCACATTTTATATGACATTGTGCATTCCCAGCAAAGGCCTTAAAATGGGGGATATTTGCAGGGAGAAACATCTCTTCTTACACAAGTGCAATGTTAAAAGGACTACAGCCAAATCAAATCTATAGAATTTATCTGCAGTTCTTTGTTCCCAAGCACAGACATGACACCTTCTTCAATCTTCCTGGCTACCTTGCCAGGACAAGTCAAGGATCATTAGTATGTATGCGCTTCCTGAAAATGGGAAAAGCAGTGTTGTACAGGTAGGAATTGGGTTCCTGATGCTCAATCCTTCAAAACACCCAGAGTGTGTGCTCTGTTGAGCTGAGGACACAAACCACCTCTGAAGATTAGATCCTGTATTAATAACAGATCATCACAGTCTATGAATTCCTTCTGTCAGAACATTCACAAAATGCTAGAAGTGGCTCCATAAAGTCTGAATTGCCTGGTTTCATGACAAAGTGGTCCAAGACTGCTATTCACTTGATTAAATAACGCGGATGTGAGTGTCTGCACTTTTGCTGAACACTTCTGGTTCTATTAGAAAAATTCTTTCAAACTATTAAGCCAGAACCATATTAAACACTTGAAATGGAATTCATCTCATCTAACTTTAGGGCATGATTCATCCCACTGATTTTAGACATCTAGGGAGAGATCTATCACATCATTAAAAATACTTCATTCTTCCCACTGTCTGCAAATGGGGCCTGGAGTGACCGGCTTAGATGTAGATATATACTCACATTTGTCAAGATGATTTCAATCCAGCCCTCTCCCATAAACATATTAATGTAATCCCACTTCTGTAAGATTATAATGCAGAACAACTCTACAGCAAAGTAGTCCCCCAAAAAACTGCCTCTTTCCTGCATCTTTGTCTCAACACAAAAGAATTACTTTGTATCATGAAAAAATAAAAATACGGAATAGATTTTTGCTTCTGAAAAATGAGAATGTCCTGCGAAGTATTTTACACAAATATATTTCTTCCAGTCCTCCTATCTTTATTTCCTACAAGCACTCACAGATGTTTGCATACTTCACGTTATGTGATGGGAGACTGGCAATTGCACAGCCCCTATAGCCACATGGAGACAAACCCCAGTTTGTTAGAATATTTTTCATACAAACACAAGCAGATGAGCCAGAAATCTAAGGAGACAGTCTGTTATAGGAAAACTCTTTAGTTCAATTTTATTGATTTTAAAGGCTTACATTGATGCACCTGCACTTTCGAACTTAACCTTCCAGAGCTGAGCTGCTGAACCTCCGAAGTTCACCCACTGCCTGCTTCACAGTCTCCCTGAATTTTCATGTTAGATAACTCCGTTTGCTCACAAAGGTAATCTAGGTAAGTTATGCACAGCTGGCATGCATAAATTGTGCATATCTATGACATCTGCCAGTGGGAAAAACACTCCAAGTATGATACATATTTCAAGAACGAGTGAATTAGTTCAAACGCAAGCTTTCTGGGTCATAATTGAATCAGATCTCTGGAAACATATGCAATATTTTAATGGCTTTGTCATAATTCAAGCTATTAATATTTACTGGACTGGATCATGAAGCTATCCTAGTAACAAAAGTAGTATAATACTTTTATTATACTGGTAATATCTTGCTAATGCTGTCTTGTTAAACAAGCCAAAAGAAATTCATTCTAGTATTTTGTGCTCTTTTTCCTGACTTGCTGCATTTATGTGCATGTACAAGAACTACTGATCAAAGAAATATTTGCATTTTTCTAACTCTTTTACTGGGCCTAGTCTTCAGCATTCATGAAAGCAAAACTACGCATACATTCTCTAATTAATATACCCTCAGAAGTCTGTGTTACTTCCTATGTGATAAAACACTCCGTGTGTCTGTGTATTTACCTAAATATCAATAGATTTCTTGTGGCTCCTTTAATTAAAAAACAGTGGAAGAGTCTGAAGCATCAACCAATGTGGAGAAGAGCAACGCGTAGATTTTTTTACTTCCCACCAAGACCTCTTATCTCTGTGCAAGTAATAGGCGCCAAGGCTTTCACCACCCTGGTAGCAACACTTAACTCAGCAGCTCTAGACACTTGTTACAAGCTGGATGGCAGACTGGACATGCACAATCCCAGCCCAAGTCTTGTGGATGACCCATGGGAAATCAGCACACGGTGGCTTGAGCAGGAGCTGTGGGAACCCATCCAGCTTTCCAGCTGGACCAGGACAGCCCATTGCTGCCTGTTGCAACTGTTCCCATACATCACTTATAGGCTATGATAAGTGGTCCAGAGGCTAGGAACCACAGACAGTCTGCAGAACCAGACTGCCTTTCCAGCAGCCTGCCATACATTTTGAGGATTGACTGGTACATGATAGAAAAATTCGGAAATCGCTGTCCCAGCGGAATTTCTAGGCTTCCAGTGCAAACTTGCTGTGCAAAGAAAAGGGAGAACTGCTGGATCAGAGCTGTATTGAATCGCAAAGTCCTTTTTTGGGGGTTTAAACTAAGGGATTATGAGGCAGATCCATTTACTATTAGTATCTGAAGGGAATAATACATCATCATTGACTTTAATAAGTAGTGAAGTGAAATTATAAACAGTGAAAATTTTGGCTGCCAGAAAACCTATTTCTGACAGTGAAGGCTATCACTATCCCCATGGAGATGAGGATTTGTGATTTCTTGGTACGAAAATGAGACAAAACTATGACTTAGAGAATATAAAAGTGTTTTGCAGGCAGTGCTCCTGCACTGGCTCCTGGACTCCTCTGGAGGATACTGCAGCATTGTCCCTTCTAAACCTGTGAAAATCCTTTATTTGAGAGCCTTTCATGTGTAACAAAACGCTGACTATTGTTATAATGGATACATCTGTTTGAAACTTATAATGCTATTACTTAAAAATTGACCAGATAGTCTGCTCTTGAATATACATGAAAATACCTCAGATACAGAATTCTGATATTTTCACAGAACTGAACTTCTATGGCATTATTATTCACATGCCACAGGAGACTATGATTTCTGGTTAAGTTTTATGTGATTTATGCCTATTTTCATTCCCATGGAAGTTGATGATAAGACACGAAGTCCTGCTGATTGCTGCAGAAACAAAGGTTGGTTACTGAGAAACATGGCTGCTGAATTCTTGTACTGCTCTGTGTGTATGTATGCATGTGTGCTTAAGATGAGGGAGACTTAGATTTATTGATTTTACAGCAGCTTTTTTCTCCACTCTTAAATGAAGTGGAATGAGGAGCAAATAGCTCGGCAAACAAAAGAAACAGAACTATGATTATAACTGCCTGAGGTTTTATACTGCAAGTACAGAATCATACGGAAGACTGGCTCTCAAATCTATTTGTCATATATGCCCACGTGAAATCTCTGCCAAAACACGGAACAGCCTGAAACCCAGTCAAAACCCCACCCTAGGTCAGGAATAGTGCTTGCTTGCAGTTACTTAATAAAATACTTCACTGGTTTCCATGGGTCTCTGCAAAAATGGGACTGGAAAAGGCCTTTCCACCCGCATTTCTTAGATAAGAGGTCCTTTTCCTTGGAGACTGCTGGTGAATCACTGCAGATCAGGCTGTTCTGCTACGATCACACTCCAGGTTTATTCCAGTGGTGGCACCGAGGGGGTGGGAAACCACATCCCTTCCTCTCCCTTCCTCTCCCTTTCCTTCCCCTCCCCTGGAAGTTGGCTGACGGCTCTGATTATGGACCCTCCAGGAAAGTGGTCTTTGTCGTAAAAGGCCAAAGTTCATCAACTTCCATTTACATCAGTAAACACGAACAATTCTTCCCGAGCCTGAGAAATCAATTCCCACAATACATCAGCCAGTCGTGCTTTAACGGACTGAATTGAAATGCCCCTTCTAATCTGCATCAGAGGAATAAAACTGATCCTATCGCATAATGTGTAAAGATGGGAGGGGAAGACGGAGCGCTACTCACCATTGCACATGCAGCGCACATTCCTGTAGAAGCGGGGGCACACAAAACTAATTCGTGCCGTGCTGTAGGTCATCAGGGAATGTGAATCAATAGATAGACTTTGCTCACAGTGTTGTTCCTGACAATCCAGTCCAGAGCAATTCTTCGCCAAGATAGCAGAAATACGAATCACATTTTCCAAGTGTCTCCTTGCATTGGTAAGCTTCTGAATCAAATAGGCAGGCTTATAGAAACCACTGTTGTGCATCTGAACTGCAAACAGCATGTCAAGCTGATTGCTGCCTGCCACCGGCTGAATACTGATGATGTGTAGGCTGTCTTGTTTTTGGGAGAGCACTGCGTTTCGCAAGGTACGCCTGAAACCATGCATGTGAAGGCCCACAAAGTCTTCTGGGGAAACATTCTCAAAACGGATGGTGACTGTGTTCTGCAGCATTTCTTGTAGCAATTGCTCAACGTGGACCACAACATCAATGGGTACCTGGAACCGGCCATCACTGACAGAGACATTCAGGACATACTTGCCGTTATCGAGCCCTCCAAGGGCAATGATTTTCCCATCATGGTTGTTGACCTTGAACAAACTTTTCTGCTCTGATTTTAGTGTATATGTGAGGACATCGTACACATCCTGATCTGTGGCATGAATTTTGCCAATGACTCCTCCAGGAAAATCATCTTCCATGGTGACAATGAAAATCTCCAGTGGAATGGCAGTCGGTTTGTGAATGCTCTCTTCAATAACCCTCACCTGAACGTAGGTGTGGGAAACCTGCTGAGGCTTCCCAGAGTCCTTTGCCTAATGTAATTTAGAAAAAAATAAAACAAATAAAACCCCAAATAAACCACACATATAACAGAGCCAACAACTGTAACTTCGTGCTATATATATTTTCACAGCATCAGTAATTCTGAAGACCTCTCAAAAGAACTTCCCAAATGCATTTGCAACATACATATGTAAAGGAATGTCTCAGCCATTTCTCGCAGTGGAACTTACAAACTCTTTAGGGAAGCACAGATATCTCATCTAAGTAGATTGCAGAGAGAAATGTGTCAGCAGAATGTCTCATTACTCAAACTGAAATGTTCCCAGGATCCCACAGCTATCACTTGTCCTCTTCACAACGGAGCCATTTGAATGTGGTATATTCTGCACCAAATGGAGCTTGGGCTCACTTCTACCCTGGAAAAGAGACTGAAGCCCAGTGAAATACCATCAAACAGTTTCTGCACTGCTTGGTGTGCTCCAAAGTGTTTCAGACCCTGCTTAGTTTGTGTGGATGTGATAGAGTTCAAAGTTTTTCTACAGCCCTCTGTACCACTTACCTGAAGCAATCAAGAAACATGCTTGAAATAAGTAAAATTTATCACCCTCCAAAAATGAAATAGGGTGCTTGTGCTGTTACTAATGATAAAATATGAGAGCAGTGCTGCACTTGGACAGATGACAGTATGACCCAGAGCATGTATGATAGCACCATTTGCACTTTTTTATAGAGAGTAAAAGAGCAAGTATGACAAAAATCCCAAGGCCATCTTGACAGAAAGGTGTGCAAACTTGAATCAGTGTCCTTTCCTGCACTAAGAAAAATGTTTCATTGAAGTCACTATTAAGATATACTGCTCCACACATTTATTTGCTCCAGAGAAGAAGAGAAGACTAAACTACCACTGGGCAGAGATGTAGCACACATTCAAAGATCTCTGTATTTGGACATGGGTAGGAAGATTTACAACCTGAAGTAAGTAAAAAAAGTCAGGGTGGCAACAGAAATATGGACATTACTAGGAAGGGATTAATGACACTCTACAATTCATTCATCCTCACTCCTAAAAGGGCTGGATGGAGCATTTTAAAAAAATAGTATGTATATGTGCACACTCATCCATGCAGGTTACATCCCATTCCACTTTAAATTTTAGCATTGCTTTTTAATAAACCTAACACAGAGGAGGAACCTGATGATGGAAATGAGAAAGCAACACTGGCAGATGTGAATGGAAAGAAACATTTCTATGGTCTATACACTACAAGAGACTACAAATATGTTTTCACTGCAGAAATCCCTAAAGAAAACAATACTTGGATGATTTAGATCTCCACAATCCAACAGCATGGTTTTCTGAACACGTTGGTGCATCTCAGACATTGTGGTCTGTCTAATATTTCATTTATATGACACACTTGGATCTATATAGCTAGAGGATGCTGATTAAATTTAATTCTCATGTCCAATTTTGGTTACACGGGAACTTCGGCTAGCAAATTGCCCTGAAAGCAGGGTATTTTAGGATGAAGGAATGGTAAGAGTGAAAGGTGAGGTTTTTAGTTTTGCTGCAAGGCTCAAAAAATAGGTTTCAGGAATATTAGATGGCAAACCTGTAAAACTTTACTTTGATTTGAATTGTTAATTACCATCAGAGCTTTTATTTTTGAATTGTAACTAACTGAGGATGTTACTACTATGAACAGCATTAAATGTGCTTGCAAAGGAGCAGACAGGCTGTATTTAGAGAAATCAGCCCCCACAGAGCAAATGGAAGAAGCCTGCATTTCACACGTAGCTTATAAGACCATGTCCAATTAAAATGAAGAGGTGTAGTTCATTCCCTAGACTTGCGTATTTACTGAACCCTACTACATTTTCCCTGGCATGCCTGAGAAACGTGAACAAATTACTTTTGGATTTACAGTTTTTTGTAATCAAAATTACCCTGGTTACAAATTTCCTCAACAATGACTGTAAAGCTAAGTTTGAGCTGGACTTTTATTGCATGTCTTATTTTCACATTCTTTAAAAGCTAAGCTGACCTTGGAAATGTGATTTCATGAATTCTTGGTAGGCTTCCAAAAATTTATGATTAAATTTATGACTTAAAAGCAGAAGTGATTTTCCTTCCTAGAACAATATTTTGCTGTCACTCGTTCTGTGGTGTATTTATATGTATATAATGCATTTTTGCTTATTTTCCTCGCTTAGCTACAGAAAATAAAAGATGAAAATCTTAAATCATAGCGGCCACTGCTCAGAAAATCCATTTCATGTGGAGGAAATTGGAAAGGTGGCTGGTTACCTATTTATATTTATATGAAATTGGGTTTAAGGACATCAAAGGAAATATACCATATTGTGTACCTGTAAACTGGAATGCATGGTATTTACCCACAGAATACAGTCAATTAAAACCAACCCATATAGGCAACGTACAGATGACCTACCATTATGAGAGTTTTTGTTTCTGTGTAGATGCAAAAATCAAGCCATACCTGCACGCAGAGCACATATTCAGTCGCGACCATGTGCTTGAAGATGACTGCAGATCTCAAGACGCCATGAGGGTCCAGTGTAAACTCCTCCTCTTCATTGCCAGTGAGGATGGTGAAGGTAAAAGGGGGGCCATTGTGAAAAGAGTCTTTGTCTGTCACTACCAGCTGCAAAATGCTTGTGCCCACTGGTTTATTTTCCTTTACACATATACACAGTGTATAAAGAAAAGGATTAAAATGACACATATCACAATCATAAAATACTACGTTTTGCTATCGAGAATATTCAACTGAATGCTCTTTGCCCAAGACAGCATTTCACAAACAGCATTTATTTGACATTGTTTATGCTCCATGGACTGGTACCAAAGATGGAGGTACCCACCACATCTCCAGGGACCAATGAGCTCTGCCTGACACTGTGTCTGATCAGGGCTGACTAACCATTAAGATTTGCACCCTGACCAAGGTATAAAGAAGTGCAACCTCATCCCAGCTCAGACTTTTTGAGGCCAGAGTACCTGGCGCAACAGGGATGAACAGTAAAAAGTGTGACAGATGCTGAGGTGAAGGAGGCTCATCAAGCAGTACCTTACCAAAGACTCGGAAAGATGTGTTTATACTTTCCTTTAAATAAGATCACTTGATACTTCTTTTGCAGATAAATCATCAAAAGCTACTTAATTGAAACCAAATGCTTTTGTATTTTAAAAGTCAGAGAAGTTTTTGATGTGCAGGATAAACTTACTTGAATTACAGCTGTATAGTTAGCTGGAGTAAATAAAGGGCTATTATCATTCACATCGGAAACGTCCACGTTGACCGTCACAGATGAAGACAAAGGAGGGATGCCGCTGTCTCTTGCCTGGATAACTAATGAATAACCAGATATCTGCAAAGAGGTGAAAACATTAAATCATTGTGAAAGCTGTCCTAAATTTTAAGTCATGTTCTTAACATCCAGTGAACCACCTATCATATTCTAAGGAAAGCTGTTTGGCCTCATTACCTTCCCTGCCCTTATTATAACTTTATCCTGTTTATTGCCACACTGTGTCCCAACTTCTGTTTTATAAGGCTATCAACAGACATAACAGTTTCACTGTATTAAAATAACTATACCAGGTGATGCACTCCTGAAACAAAGGGGCAGACAAAAAATAACCAATGGATAATATCCAAACTCAGCTATTACTACTGTAGCTAACGTTTTCATCTCTCCTAGGTGTCAGCTGGGGTCTGTGACCTGATTCTATTTATCTTACAGATGGTTTCCAGGATATTATATAAATTGATTATTAGAGCCAACCTCAGTTTGACACACAGTGTTTCTAATATGGTGAACTAATAAAAAGTTCACAGGCAGTTGACTTAAACACAGTGGAAAACATTTGGGACTACTAGGGACAAAATTCTCTGTAGCAATAAGGTATCTACCATTCAGCAGAAGATAAGGGTTTTTTGAGCCTATTTGTTTGCAACAGACACAAACTACTAAGCGCGGTGTGGGCAGTTCAGTGCATCACCCATGGGTCCCCTAAGCACATATGTGCCTGTGCGTAAGGTGTGAGTGTATGTGACAATTTGCAAAAGCTCTGTCTATGCACAACTTATGGATGACAGTTTGCTTTTATGAACTGCATCCTTATGTTGGCCTCCTTACATCTTACAACTGCTTTTTACTGCATATTGCTCCCTGCTCCCCAGGGAGAGCTGCTGACACGTCTGCCCGTGAATCCTTCTATGGGGGAGAGAGCAAAGGGTAAAACATATGCCAGCTAAAACACCCCGCTCCAGCCTCTTGGTGCAGGGCTGGAAAGGGGAAAAGCATGTCCCTGCAGAGGGGAACAACATAATGTCAAATGGGCTTTTTCAGGGTGGGAGGAAATCCAAAGTCATTTGAAAAATAAAAGCCATTTGGGTAGGAGGAAGGAGTACATGCTAAGTGTACGAAACAAGGATGCTCTTCTGGGATGTGGGACCAACCTGAAATAAAAGGAAACATGTTTTTGAGGGGATTGAAAGATTGCAGTTTGGTGGGGGCATAGTGACCCAGGAGGAAGGAAGAATCCTGAACTATAGAAGGTCAAGAATCTGGGCAGAGAATTAATCTGTTTTTTTTTTTTTTTTTTTTTTTTTTTTCCCCTTTTGAGCTGTAATTTCTATTGCTAGCTAGAGACGAGACTGACAGTTTTGTGGGACCTTTCCCAAATTTTGTGTGCGTTTGCTTTCATTTGAATGTATCTCAGATAGGTAGATGGAAAAAGTAATGGTTTCTATGTGATTACAGTTGTGGAAATGAGTTTCCTTAAACCACTGAAACCTGGGAGTCAGCACTGTCTTTGGGGGTCTACAGCAGATGGGGCATCTTGTATCCTTTTCCCTGAAGGGGTCAGGAACACCTGTGTCTAGGTAATGTGCCAAGGAAGCAAATAAAAAGACAATATCACAGCTTATTTTAACCAAGGGAAACTTTGGAAAACGCAGATCTAGTAGAGCTGGCATTAAACATGCACACACCGGTGATGGTGAATGTGTGTGTCTGAATGCAGGTGTAGACGAGTGCACTTCAGAAACTAAATAAAATCATATTAAGAAATCAAGCTTGCGTCATTTAAAACAAACATTATAGCAGATTTCTAACATGCACAACCATTGTTACTTCCCTGTCATTAAACAGTCTGCGGTAAAGTCATTCTGCCACCAAACACTGACAATTTAATCCTGCCTTTGTGATAATACAGAAAATATATTTGCCACTGTTTTAAGCAGTAGCCCTCCATCCAGCAGAGAGTTTTTCCAGGTGAGCCCATATTCTGAGGATAGCAATCAGCTTCCCCAGATTCCTGGATGCACTGCTTGGAGGCAGGAGGCATGGATTTCTTTATGTGTTGCAAGACTTCTGAAGGCATGTAGCACTATCCTGCCTTGCTAGTAGCACAAGGCAACTGTATGTGTTTGTTTTTTTCCAAAAGCTGCTAATTGCTATCTATGGCAAAATGGTGATAAATCACCCTGAATGAATAATCTAGTGAGCAAACAAAGCAGCAGAGTCTGTTTAATGAAGCCCTCTTTCACTTTTCGTACAGCCTGGCCACTTCATAACATCACCTCCCCCGTGACATGTTTTGCAGAGCGCTAATTAATGGCTGAGGTCTCTGCTCGGTGCTTGGTGCCACAATCTGGTGTATGTTGTAATCACTCCGTTGCACACACTGCTGCACGTGTGTGCTTGCACGCGCAGGAGAGAGGAGGCAGCTCATTAACACAGCAACAGCTGCCGGTGGCACCACATGAGAAATCCGGGGTTGATTTTTTCCCTGATCTGGGCTCAGCTGCTGTGTTGGTGCAGGATGGGAATGCTAGCAGAGCAGTTGGCTTGTAGACAGGATTGGTGATAGGGTTGGGGTGGGAAGAAGTGGGACATTAGAAAGACCTGTTGGAGCATCTGAGGCTGATCATTGCAGAGTATATAAGAAGCTTCTTCAAAAAAAGCTAGCAGCACTGTTGAGATCAATACACATCTGTAAATCATTGTAAGTTAAGAAGTCCCACATGTCTTACCCTTTCTCTATCCAATTTCTTTTTAACCTTCACAAGTCCCAAAACAGGATCAACTGAAAATTCATTGTCTCGATCCCCATTCACAATGGAAAAATGAATCTGGCCATTGGAAGGACTGTCCAGATCTTCCGCTATCAACTTTTTTGAGAGAGAAGTGAAAATTAGCAAAATAAATATTAAGCCATCTTTATGATACATTAATTGCTCAACATCCCCAAAAGTAAGACTTCATATTCCATCACACTATTTACATCTGAACTGCACACCTCTACACAACCAAGCCAAGTATCAAGCCAGTCAGCTTTTGACATGAGGCTCCTCTTGAACGTTTTCAAAATTATAGCCTTAAAACATACATAATATTTTAATCTTAAAATTCCACATAAAACTTTCTTTCTGGATCCACAGATTCCACGATCAGAGTATTGTGAGGTTTGGGTATGGCACACTGCATGCCAGACTACACAAATACTATGTATTTCAGTGTAAAGTTTAATTCTGATTTTCCAATAAAACCCGCTTGTTTCTAGCTGACTCATGACATACAATGCCTTAAACATGCCATTGCTCTTTGACAGCATATTTGGGTTAAAAAAAAACAGCCAGTACTACTACTTCTACTACTTTCTTTGTGGGGAGAAACTGTCAGCAACCTGGAAAGAAGTAGCAGATGCAGAGTATTGGCTAGAGAACAGAGTGAGTCAAGATGCAGTAGTTATAATTATTAACAAGTGCAGCATTATTTTATTAAAGGTCGTGTGGCAGAGGGCTTCATCCTGCCTAAATGCTGCCCATGGCCTCACTCACCATTATGACCGAATCACCGATGGCGGCGTCCTCGCTGATGACGGCGCTGTAGACGAGCTGGCTGAATTTTGGTGCATTGTCATTAACATCTGTCACGTTTACGTTCACAGTCGTAACGGCACTCAGGGCTGGAGTACCTCCATCTTTTGCTTCCACTACTAAGTAGAAATCCTTACACGATTCATAATCCAAAGCTTCAAAAATGGAAATCACTCCTTTGAAGCAAGGGAGGGAATGTCAACAGCCAGAAAAACACAAATAATGTTATGGACTAAGGGATTTGACTGTAGTTAAACTGTATAGCATGCTATTTATCACCGTGGCACACATATAAAATATGTTGTTCTAACTGTAACTGCCCAATCCAATAAAAATATTAGGTCAGGTTTGTACTGCTGTTGCTTGATTAAAGAATGATGCCAATTGCACTTGGGTTGCCTCTGCAGAAAGGACCTTCACAAGGCATGAAGCAATGAATGGTTTCTCATGAAAATAACTTTTATTGTGTGAGTATTGCAGACAGAGAAGCGGGGGCCATATCCACCCATTTGCCTGGGCTCATGCACAGAGACTGTGGGAGAACTGGATGCTGATTCTGGAAATCAGCCCTGACAAGTCAACAGAAGTTCACTCCCACGTAATTAACTTCTCATGAATTAAATACAAATGAATGGGGTATGAATACCTTTGAGAAATCAGTTGTCTGTCATTTATGTGATTAAACAGGGACTTCCCACTCAACTAGGTTTATAAATTTTGGGTTCCCTCACCACACAATCAAAACTAAGATTCTCTGTAACTTGACTCGCTCCATGCACCCAGACCCCCTCTAGGATAGAAATGATTTTTACACCAGCCCCATTGTTTCCCATGTACCCATAACCTTAACAGGAAGTGGGGAGTGGGTTGTGCACAGAATACTAGTGATGCCTTGAAGGAAGTAATACTGGGCATGGCAGGAAAGACTTAAATGCAAATCCTTAACCTTAACAAGCCAAATCCTTTTCAACATAAACCCATCGGGAGCAGGGATGTATAGGGCTTACAGGTCATTTAGTCCAACTGCTGCTCAACACAGGTCAGCTAAACCTAATCATTCTTGAATGTACTCATCTTTAATGTTCTTATAAACCTCCAACAACATCAGTTTCTAACCTTCTTAGGAAATGTATTTCAGTACTTAATAATCATTACAGTTAGGAATTTCTTCCTATAATTTAACCAAAATAATCCAAATGCAATTTAAGCCCATTCACAACTTATTTTCTCATGAGTGGGCATGGAGAACAATTTATTCCCCTTCTCTTCATATGTGCTTTTTACAGGCTTGAATACTAACAGCATGTCTTCTCTTTTCTAGCTTAAATAGCCTAAATTCCTTCAGTCTTTCCTAGTAAGGCACATTTTACAGACCTCAGATCATTCTTCTTAATCTTGTCTGGGTTCTCTCCAAATGAATCCTACCTTTCAGCATGACTTGCTGGAAGCAGGAGCCCTGAAGAGAAGCTTCCAAGTGGCTAGCAGAGAGTTCTCACTGATAAATGGTGTGAAGGGCATTATTTTTCAAACTCTGATCAGGCATGCTACATCAGCACCCGGCTGTCTGGAAACTGAGCTCCTGCCTCTAAACCGATAATAATGGAGCTGTCACACATTAATGAATAATAAATAGTTTTTGTTGTTGTTGTTGTTGCTGTTTTTTTTTTTTTTTTTTTTTTTTTCCCTGTCTGATTAAGCTTCATTATGGGTTTCTATTGATTTATCTCCTTGGCTTCATTGTCAAATGTGAAGTATCACTGTCTAGGCATATTTATGTTTAAATTTTGTTAGCACTAATCAACATTATGAAGATAACAGACAACACACAATTATGTTAAGTCCCTTACATGAAAGGCAGTGGCCTCCACAGAGTGGAGAGATATTTTTTCACACAGTAATATAAATGACACAACATATCATTTTGAGATTTTCCAGGTTACTGATTATTACAGCTGCACTCAAACAAGTGTTACCTTCAGCTTTCAAAATCAAGATTGTTTTGCTCTGAAGCTCTGGTGGCAGATTTGTACTGGTCATCCTGAATGTTATGAGAATAAGGGGATCCACTACATGAAGCACAGAAGAATCATAGCTTATTGTTGATGGATTAAAACCTCAGTAAGGATAAAGAATATATCCCACTAAGGAAATTCAAGGAAAATTGGCTGTTTGAACCAAATAAGGTAGATTTTCTTAGTATTTCTTAAAGAGAAGCAGCAGTGTATTTTTAAAATCTGTGATGTATAACAACAACAACAACAAAATAATCCAAACCATGGCTGAAGTCAACTGTCAGACAGTACAAATCAGGAGCAACCTAAGTCAGTGAAGTTCATACAGCTGTATAAACAGCAATCATGTTAGAACTGCCAGCTATTTGGTCCTGATAGCACTGTCTGATGCTTGCTAAGGTCCAGACACTTGAGGCTGTACTCAGCTGGTATGCAGGTAAACATTGTAAGTGTTCATAACTTTAACGGTTGCACAGTTTGGTTAATGGGTTGTCACATCTACATTGACTTCAACAGACCTAGTAATGGAGAAAAGTATTCTCCACTTGAGCTGGGGCAGCTGAGTGTGACTGTAATTCACATCACTCTCCAACATAAAATAGGTTTTTAACTGTGCAACTTATTCCACATTGACAAGCTCTGAGTCTCTGTTCTTGGAATTTTTTTGGTCCAAGAGCAGCCCCCAAAGCATTCACGTTTTTCTGATGCTTTCATTTTGCATTTTAAGTAAGAGCCACTTTACAAACCTGTTTTTGAGTTAATCCTGAACTTCCCTTTCTCATTCCCCGATCTGATGAGATAAGCAATCTCAGCATTTGTACCAATGTCTTGGCTTGTTGCAAAAACAGAAAGGACCTCAGTGCCAGGTGAGGTGTCTTCAGGTACTGTAACAAGATAATCTCTTCTTTCAAACACAGGGGGGTTGTCATTAATGTCTAGCACTGTAATGGTAACGGTGGCAAATGAGGACAAGGTCAGCACAATGCTCTGATCTGAGGCCTTTACACTAATGTTATAGGAAGACTGAAGCTCTCTATCAAGTGGATGCTCCAAAATAATGATTCCTGATGACCGGTCAACTGAGAAGTAACCATCTGCGGAGTCTGCCAAGGAATAGGTGACTTTTCTGTTCACACCTGAAAGAGAAGCGTATGTGAAAATGACAAAGCGAGAAGAAGAAAATAACAACCTCTTCCCATCTAATGGAAACCCTAGGAAAAATCTGCTATCACTCTGATCATTTCCATTGGGGGTGGAGCTCATGGAGGTAGGAGTGCCTGAGAGTACAGTATTGCTGAAAGTTTGGGACATTAGGACATGTTCTTCTCACATGTCAAATCCCCCTGGATAAGTTAAGTTCCTTCCCTCATCATGATACTTTTTTAAGAGATAACTTTGCAGATCTTCTGTGTAGTGAAACTTGAAAGTAGAATTCAGATATGGTCCTTGCCCAGAAAAACTTACAATTGAATTAGATGAGATGGGCAGAATGCTGAAATTAGAAATGTCTCAGAACACATCTTGAAGGAATAGAAGTGTACATACAGGAAAAATAAAACCATAAAAATACATCAGGTGGCACAGAATGTATTTGCTACCAGTCTTGCCTTGATTCCACTGTTGAGCAGCAAAATATTATCCTAAGATGATACCTGTTAGACAAATCTGCATCAAAGAGCTCCTGCCTGAATACAGACATTTTAGAAAGTCCCCCACTCCTCCAATTTGACAGCAAAAATTGAGTTGTACGAAAGATATCCTGTGTTTTTCAAGTCCTGCCTGTATTTCCCAATACATAACACCTATCCAACCAGCTGATGAATATGCAGATCTACGCTAAGGTTGTTGTGAGTAATAAGGCCTGAGGGGAAGGTACTGTCTTGGTTTCTTGCTGCACTACAGTGGGATAGCCATTTCAAATCTAATTAAAAATGAATACAGATACAGCCTAATTCAACTCCCTTGATGCTGGTTGATTTTATGATTTGGTCTTGGGTGCTTCACTAAGAGATTATAACTAAAACACAAAGATCCACTAAAATGGAGAATCTCTGTTCTTAACATCTCCCACTTGAGCATTTGCTGCCCTTTTTGTTGGAGGACAGACTTTACAAGTCTGACATTAATCAGATGAACAAGAGCTACCAATCCCTTCTAGGCATATTTGGTTGATTTAAAATTTGTGACAGTATTATTCTGCTTTCCAGTAGCAAAGCATTATAGAAATGTCTGATCAAAAGCAGGACAAATCACATTTGTTTTTTGCTTGACGTAGCAGGAGTAAAGCATCCACACAAGGGGGAGCTGGGAGACTCTTTCTTCAATCACACGTACATAAAAGCTAGATCAACTACAAAGTCCCAGATCCTACTTGGAGAGCATTAGGGACCGTCCTCAGGGAATAAAGTTTTTATGCAGTGCTTGAGACACAAGAGTATATTTCAAATGTTCAAATGTCTTTAAAATAAGGAAAATTTTAAATGGCAATATTGCAATGAACCAGTTTATTTTTTTTTCTTTTTTATCACAGTAGAACTTCTCTATTCACCATGGCATCTCAAATGTGAAAAATGCAGAGGCCCTCCTTCAGCAAAACAGGCAAGGCAGCTGAGGAGGTGACTCCTGTTCTGCAGATTCTTTGATGTGTTGAAACACCTAGATTCTGAATAACCTATGGTCTGATGGAGACCATGCTCATCTCTTCATTTAGCCTCTTTATACATGCATCCAAATGCTCTGTCAGCTGACAATCAACCAAACTGACAAAAGTGAAAAAGGAGTAAAACCCTCTGGAAAGCTGAAGGTTTTGAGGGTCTAAATGGCTCGAGGTGTGTCTACATTTCCAGCAGGGGACCATCTCCTGCTAAAAACCCTCCCCAGGTTTCAACTTATGAAAAAGGACAGACCTGACCAGAACAATTAATGAGCTAGTAATTAAAGCTGATCCCTGGGCATTCTGGAAAAGGGGGATTTTGCCTGATTCAGAGCATGCAGTTGAACACTCAACCTACACATGAGTTTTAACTCTAAAGCTATTTAGTATTCTGTACTGGGACCTCTTGATGTCTGCCAGTTCCTACACAGAATTAAATACTTCTCTGAATCAGGGCCCTTAACACACACCTTCCACACATATGTGTCTGTGACTGCAGGACAGCCTTACTCTGGTTTGGGTTTTTTTCTCACACAAAACCCCCATGTTATACTCCGTACAGCATAACTGGGCACAAGACAGAAGTTTCAGATACCACGGTCTTTAAAGGCATAAATAGCTAGAAAGGAGATGACCTACCCATGACTTGTGTCTTGAAACATGCCAAAACTTTAGCAAGTATAACTTGCAAGGGGGAATGGGGAGAGACAGAATTTGGTGCATGTGACACCATGTGGGATGAGTTTACATAGAGGAAATGATAACTCCAGTGACTGCAACTTGATTGATAATAATCTGACCACTCTCCTCGTATTCTACTTCCTAAAGGTGATGTCCATTAATTAACAAAATGCAAAAAATGTTTCCTGATAAGTGATTGCTTGTGATACCACAGTGCAGACAGTTCAGATACAGAACCGGTATTCTGGTTGTTAACTCAAATATAAGGGATTTTTACACAGAAATGGAGAGTTACTTCTTGAAGACAAGTGCTTTTTCTATTCCTTCCTACAAAACAAGAGAGGAATATAGAAGCCCCAAGGATGTGGGTTATCTTGTTTGAGTCTGGTTTGATAATGAAAACAGTCTTATTTTTCCCATGGGACCTGGAGAAAAAGCTCCTACAGCTGAAAATGCCATTTTATGCAAGGAGAGACAGAAGATCAGGACAAAGGACCTAAGCTGGGACACTAACAGATACCAGCTTTTGGTTGCTTTCAGCTTGAATGCAGAGACAGAATAGAAGGAGAAATAAAGAGGCAGATCTCAGCTGCCTGCCGACTTTCTCCCACAGCATTTTGTGGGGCTGGAGTTTATCGCTTGCTTCTTGGGAGGAAAATATATTCAATAAGAAGCTGTTGCAGAAACAGCACTTTGAATAAAGTGTTGTGTTGTTATATCAATAGCTGTTTCCACTCAGCTTCCTGAGCCAAAATGGGCATGAGACAAAAGTGAAGTAGGAAGTTATTTCTACTTAAATTCAAAATGCTTTAGTCCAGAGGCTGCCATCTGCTGAGAGAGGTGACCACCAGTGTGTGTCAATGGCATTCCTGCCATGGAGGTGATGGTAGATTCTGCTGTGACTATAAAGGAGATGTTTTCTGTGGAAAGGAAACAACTGCTCCAACACCATGGTTCCTGCACTGGTAAAGAGAGAAATCCTCTCACACTGCTTGCCCACAGCTGTTGGGGGATTAATGTTTGCAAACTGCATTGTGTCTATTCATTTACTCACTTAAACTTCTCAGATTTCTAAGGTGCCAATCATGAACATAAGCTATTTGAACATGTAAAGCTCTGCAGAAATTACTATTATTATAAGAGGATTGCAGTACATTTTTAAAATAAAGGAATAAGCAAGAACATTTTCTATTTAGACTTGTATTAGCATATGATAGAATATTGCCCTTAGCCAAATCTCTGGTGTGAAGAGCTTGTACAACATACAGCTGTCTAGTACCTTAAATGCCATCCTTCAAATAGGTTTTTTTTCTTGTTTTCTTCTGTACTAAAACAAAGGGGCACACACTGAATGTCACATAATTACATCTTCTATGTCATTACTACTTTAAATAGTACCAGGGAAATAAAATAACTTCTCTTTATAATTCAGAGTATCAAATTCCTCCTTCTCTAACTCATAGAATCATTTAGGTTGAAAAGGACCTTTAAGACCATTGAGTCCAAATGTTAGCCCAACATTGCCAAGTTCACCACTAAACCACGTCCCTAAGTGCCACATCTACACATCTTTTAAATACCTCCAGGGTTGGTGACTCAACCACTTCCCTGGGCAGCCTGTTCCAATGCTTGACAACCCTTTTGGTGAAGAAATTTTTCTTAATATTCAGTATAAACCTCCCCTGGTGCAACGTGAGGCCATTTCCTCTTGTCTTATCGCTTGTTACTTGGAAGAACAGACTGCCCCTCACCTTGCTACAACCTCCTTTCAGGTAGTTGTAGACAGCAATACGGTCTCCCCTCACCCTCCTTTTCTCCAGACTAAACAAACCCAGTTCTCTCAGCTGCTCCTCACAGGACTTGTGCTCTCGACCCTACACCACCTTTGTTGCCCTTCTTTGGACACGCTCCCATCCCTCAAAGTCTTTTTCGGAGTGAGGGGCCCAAAACTGAACACAGGATTTGAGATGCAGCTCAACTGAAAATGGTGGAGTTACAACACAGTTTGATGCAGACCAACAACAATTAAAAGGCTGAGCGTTAACACACAGGTGCTATCCCCATATGATAGTGAGTTTCTGCAGTAGGCGTTACCTGCTGACTGCATCACACACAAACTAGAATTTACACATATTAAAGACCATACATAGTGTGTTTCTCACTTCTGTTGTCATCTGTCACCCTGAACTCATTATTTAATGTGTTTCCCCAAGTATAGCTAGCCCACTAGTTCTTGTTTATCTCTGGAACATGATGCTTAACTTTGTAATTTGCTCATTTTCATTTTGAAAACCTACAGAAAAAAAATAATGACAAGCATTAAAAATAAAGAAACAAGAAGTAAACCAGAAAGAGAACTCTAAAAAAAAAGTTATTTATCAATTTAGCAGTGATTTGCAAGCATGGTATCTGATTATTGTGATTCCCCTTGTCCCTGTCTTTCACGTTGTGACTATTAACACCAGTGTGTACCTATGGCCTTTCCTGATTATTCAAATGTTAACCACAACACCAATTACTGGAAGTTAAAAGCCCAAAAATTCATTAACACCAAAAAAGACAAAAGACGAATACTAAACCAGATTTTATAATACTCTACTCCATCACTTTGAGATGAAAGAGAAAAATCTTGCCAGAATTACCTTGCTGAACTGTAGAAGAATATATAGCCCCATAGGGAAAGATATTTCAAGAGATTTTTACAACTTAAGCAGAAAAGTTGGCCAAGTTTGATCCATAAGACGGCTACCAAGACAGACTTTCAGTGCTTTGTCCCTTTTCTGTGCGAAAATGATAGCCTTA